CGGATTACGCTGATCGCCGCAAAGGCAAGAGTAGCGCCATTGAAACCAATTTCGATTCCAAGGCTTGAATTGCAAGCAGCTCTTATGGGCAGCAGACTGGCTGCTTCGGTTAGTGAAGAGAGCAAGTACGAGATGTCCGAGAGAGTGTTTTGGACAGACTCACGTACAGTGTTAGCGTGGATTAAGTCGGATCCTCGCGCTTTTAAACCATTCGTTGCTCATCGATTGGCTGAGATCGAAGATCACAGTAAGCCATGTGAATGGCGATGGGTTCCAACGTCACAAAACGTGGCAGACGACGCCACTAGAAGTTTTCCTTCCACCTTCGATGTAAGTCATCGCTGGTTTCAAGGACCTGAATTCCTCAGGAAAAGTCCTGATTTATGGCCCAAACAAGTGGACACCATAAATAGCTTAGAAACAGGTGAAGAAAAATCGCCAAAGGGCGTAAATACGTTAAGAAAGCAAGAACCGTTAAGTCTACCCGACTACGGACGATTTAGCAGCTTTAAGAAATTCCTTGGAGCAACTACACGCACCTTACAAGCGGTAGAAAAATTCAAGAGTTTAAGAAAGTCGGTTAAAGGACCCGACGACGCAACCGAAAAGTCGGTTATGTGTTCCAACAAAGTTTTAGCAAAGTCGGTTAAAGGACCCGATAGCGCGTTGGACACAGCGCTCTTGAAAAAGGCGGAAATATTAATTTGGAAATTCATTCAAGACGAGTGTTTTCATTCGGAAATAAAATGTTTGAAAGCAGGCAAAAGCGTTGAAAGAAGTTCACGCTTAAGTAAATTATCTATGGAAATAGGAGAGGATAACTTACTCCGTTTAAATGGACGTTTACCTTTCAAGTCTAATTTGACCGAGGAAAGTAGAAAACCTGTCATATTAGACGGTAAACACGAAATCGTTAAAATGATGATTAGAGAAGTTCATCATCATTTTGGACACGCCAATCACCAGACGGTGATGAATGAGGTGAACCAGAAATTTTACGTCTTGAACTTGCGTAATGTAGTACGAAGTGTGTCACACCATTGTCAGTGGTGCAGGACATACAGGTCAAAGCCGCAAAACGTGCCACAAGGAAATATTCCTCTGGAAAGAATAGCTCATCATGAGCCACCTTTTACATGCTCAGCTGTAGATTATTTTGGTCCTATGAGTGTGACTATAGGAAGGCGACACGAAAAACGTTGGGGCGTTTTATTCACGTGTCTGACCACCAGAGCGGTGCATCTGGAATTAGCAGCCTCATTGACACCAGCGTCAATGATAATGGCGTTAAGGCGATTTATCGCCAGAAGAGGAAAACCAGCCGTTATATACAGCGATAACGGGACAAATTTCAAAGCTGCAAATAAAGAATTATTGAAAGCATGCGAAGAATGCTATGAGGGCATGAAAAACGAGTCATTTAAGAAATATATTAAATGGAAATTTATACCTCCGGGAGCACCGCACATGGGTGGCGCCTGGGAGAGGTTAGTAAGATCGATTAAAATTGCGTTGACCGCTACGCTTAAGGAGAAGAGCCCACGAGAGGAGGTTCTACATACGTTACTTTTAGAAGCAGAGCATACGGTAAATTCCAGACCTCTGGTAACATTCAGTATGGATAGTCCTGAAGAGGGCTTGACACCCAATCATTTTCTTCTGGGACGCTCATGTGGTGATCGACCACCTGGATTATTTTTAGAGCGACATCTGACGGGTCAACTCAATTGGAAAGCTGCACAGAGGTTAGCCGACCATTTTTGGACAAGATGGCTGAAGGAATACATGCCTACGTTAATACCTCGAACAGGTGATAACGGCAAGTTCATGGAACCTAAAGAAGGCGATATTGTTTTGGTAATAGATCATTCGTTGCCACGAAATACGTGGCCAAAAGGTAAAATTAGTAGAACGTTACCGGGACCAGACGGTCACACCAGAGTGGTTGACGTCATTACTAGCACAGGTATCTTGAGGAGACCTACATCCAGAATAATAGTCCTGGTACCCGCGACGCCTCCCAAATGATGGTGCTAACGCACGGGGGGGAGATTGTTGGCGACGCGCCTATAAAAATGTTTCAGTTTATTAAATCAACCGATGACGTTGCTATGAAAAAAGGGGTAGTCACGAGCAACGACGCTCTGATAAGAGAATGCTTAGTTAAATCTTTAAGAAATGTCGAATTAATGATATGAAGGTCTTGGGTTCGACTCCCAGGCCGGACTAGTTTGTTTGTTTTCCTAAGTAATATCGCTTAATAAATTCGTAAGGAATTTAAGATATAAATTATGTTACCGGATTTGTTCCCCGGTTGAAATCATCTTTCAAATGATGTAAATTCATAAGAATATTAAAGTGAAGTTAAAGATCGGATTTGTTCCCCGGTCGAGATAATCACTCTGTGCATAGGCAGAATTAATGGATATTAATTGCATAAATGTTGTTTTGTATAAGTTTGATACGTTTTGTACGAAAACAAATGCCTATTTGTTATGATTGATTAATGAGAACATTCATTTATATTGTTATCTGATTAAAGATAGTTTCATACAGTTCGAAAATTGTATAAAAGCATTTAATTTGCCTAATGTGGTCAAAATTGGTGTATTTCATAATTTAATTTTTTCTGATAGCCGAGAGCCGTGCAAAGTTAGTTGTTCACATAGCGTGAGTACACGGAAGCACGCTGGCCACGCCCTTAGGAGGCCGAATATGTAAAAATTTAAAATGTTTGTAATTCAGTGATTTATGTAAAAATTACTTGTAAAATATTTCAGGTTGATTGTACGTGCTAAAAAGGTGAATTCTGTGTTATTTTCATGTGAAAATTCCTGTGTATAAGTGAAATAATGATAGTTTTGTATAAGAAATTTAAAAGTGTTTTAAATAGTGAAATAAATAGAAAAAATGTAAATTAAACTATTGTATTGGTTAGCTTATGTATAAATTCAAGTGAGAAACATTGTTTTAACTTTCTGTGTTAAATATTTAAGAAATTTCGATTTCGAACTTGTGAGTAAAATAGGCAGTTTTCGTTTAATAAATAAAAGGTTTTTTATGATATGAGGATATGATGTATATCATGGTGTAGATATTGTTTTGTACTACCTATATTGATAAATTGTATTTGTATATGATTTGAATAAATAAAGATATTGAGTGAAACGTGAGAGAGTAATAGTACAAATTCATGTAATTAAGTTGCGCAAGCGCGCAGATGGCGCGGCTCACTTTCGCGTATAGCTCTGGGGTAGCTTAGTGAACGGGTTTTATTGCAATTCGTTCGGGAATGGTTCGGGAATCGTTCGGGAATCGTTCGGGAATGGTTCGGGAAATATTCAAGGAAATCGTTCGGGAATCGTTCGGGAATTGTTCGGGAAATATTCAAGGAATCGTTCGGGAATCGTTCGGGGATCTTACCAGCAGTCAATAAGAAGAAGAAAGAAAAAGTGTAGGGAAGTGATAGGGAAAAGTGATTACTCTCTCACGGAACGGTTTGAAGATAATTGCTGTTTCATTCCCAAGTAATTCATCCCTTAAGTTATACAGTCCACATCGAAGAATTAAGGCGTCGGGACCGGGACGACTTCGGAAGACCCGTAATCCCCGTCTGAACCTACTTGCTGAAAAGGAAGAGGTTATCGCCCTAGTGTGTTACTCCGTTGCGGAGATCACATACGTTGTTCCCGAACCCAACGTAGGCGTGATAGGAGGCCGGATCGAGAGAAGCCTCGATTCCTGTTTCTTAGTACCCGATCCGCTAGGTCCTTTTCAATTGGTCCTTTTCAGGATCAAGAGGGACACCGACCTGGTCCTTTTCAATTGGTCCTTCGCGGCCGGATTGAGAGGACCCCGACCCTGTTCCTTTTCAGAAGTATTAAATTGTGAGTACGCTTGTGCAAAGCTATTGCGGAATGATTAATGTGAAACGTCAGAAGGTATTTCTTAGATTTGGTTGACTATAAACGTTTAAGGTATAGACTAATATAAGGCTCACGCATGCTTTAACTACCGATTTTGACGGGATTTTCACAGGCAGATAGCTGATATTGGCTGATATCATAAAGAGTAACTTGGGCTTCTTTTATTTTAGAAAAAACAATTTGGGTTCTTAGGGAAAAACCAATACCTTTGAAATACAACCGTAATAAAGTTCACGCGGATGAAATCGCGGGCAGCAGCTAATTATATAACATACATTATGTTATATTAATTATATTACAATGGATAAAACAAACTGAGGATGTTACTTAAGCTAATATCTCTATATACAAAAATCTATTACTGTCCGTTAGTCTCGAAAAAACTCGAAAATGGCTCAACCGATTTTGTTGAATTTTTTGTGTGTATTTGAGTGGGTTAAACTAAGCTTGTACTTGTTAAAATGGACGGTTTTGCGGAAACTTGATCGTTTACGGATCGTTACTCATGTTTTATGGTTTAAATAATACTTTGAACTGGATGTTGATAATATGTAAAAGTGACGTGGCTTTGTATATTAAGTGTTTGCGCATGTGAAGTACTAGTGGAAACGACGCATAAATGCTTCACTGTTGATACAGTCCTCAATTTATTTTGTTTGCGTAGGCGCCTTAAAAACTTGAATCACCGTCGTCATCGACTGTTCACTTGGTTGGCAAGTCATCGAAATTTCTCAAAAACCTCTTAATGTGACACATCCACTAATTGTGAAGAAAATGCCAAAGAAAACATCTACAGAAACCACGTATTATTTAAAACAACTTGTTTTTTTATATTCCGTGATAACGGTGATTCCGAATAAAATAAAGACATAGCTTAAAGAATAAGCATCCAAGTCAAAAACATTATATAAAAAAGTTCCTAAGATGTCAAGTCAACTGTCAACTCAAGTGTCAATGTCAACTTTTTATTTTATATTTAATTATTTATCTATTGTTTACATAATTTTACTTACTATTAATTAAAATAAAACTGTATTATTAATATTACCAAATATGTAAATTAAGTATTATATAATGGATTATGATAATAAGGAAGACGTACTGGGGTTTTCAACGAAGGAAGCTTTAATTAAGTTACGAAATGATATTCGTACTGTTATTGATGAACATAAAAAGAAGAACCTTAAAGGGTATTAAAATAGCTCTTCAATTTTCCTTGGGCCTAACTTTCAATCGTTAATAGTAAAAATTATAACGTGACTGAATGTAAAAGTGAAACAATTGAACTATTATACATAAACAATTGTAATTTTGCTTATGCTATGTCTTATCTTATGGATAACTTTTATTGATGAAAATCGGCCCTAAAACTGTAGAAAGTTATTGTAACTTTTGGCTTATGTCACTGTTTCTTATGTTCGTTTTCAGATATGGATTTGTTCGAAATATTGTTTCGTTTTCATCAGAAAAAGTGCTTTTATCGGGCGTAGCATACACAATCATTCTTGTTTATATTGTTTCTTTAATTTTGACATATTTAATTGGAGGAACCTTACTTGCACAGTCTTATTTACTTTGGGAAGCTCTTTTTCTTTTTGTAGTTTTGGTTATAAACTTCCTAGTTGCATTTAATGAAGAATGCATTCATAGAAATGAAATTACACTACGGGTTAAAAAGGTTCTTAGTAAGTATTAAACTTTAATTTTTTTACATCAGATTTGGTTGTCATATAGATATATTTAAATTATTTTTTTAGAAACCTTAAATGAAGCTATAGACAAGGCAGTATGGAGGGAGAATCACTACCCACATTTGTGTGCCCCATTTTCACCATGTGTAATATTACAGTGGACTTACAGAGATGGTAAGAAAGAAGTTCTTCATCATTCATTTTAAAATATGATTTAATTCCGTACGACTCTCCATTGACGTCTGTCGAATTGGAGGTGGGAGGGGGGTGCGGGGAGGTGTGCTACTCCCCCTTAAAAGGAAAAGTTGCGGAGCCCCCCCTTTTTGAGTTTTTTCAATTTTAATTCTGAGGAAATTTTATTTTTTATGGATAAATATTACATGTAAAAAACCATGAAGACCTCTTGGGGGGGGAAGGGGGTACCCCCTAAGGAAGGGGGAACCCCTTCACCAAAAATAAATAGAGGGACTCATTCAGAGGGATTTCTGTATCTATTTTGAGACTGCAACATCTCCGGCGCTGCGGGAAGGGCAGCCTCTACGCCTTTGCGTAACAAATCGCAGGCATCCAGCCTCGCCTCCGCAGCTTCGGCTTGTTGGTCGCCTTCGGCGACCTGCCTCACCGCTCTGGCTCGTCCGATGCCTACGATTTGTTACAGCAGGCGGAGGCTGCTCTCCCTACGCACCTCCGGCTCTATAAAAACACTCTAGGGGTAGGACAGACTCGTACCACGTGGAGTCGGGGTCTATTGATTTGGTTCCTTGACATAAGTTGAACCAAACCTATTTTATTTGTTATCTGACCTAATAGGTGGGTACTGTTTTATACACATGTTTTATACAATTTTATACACATATTGCTTTAATTAATTCTTAGAAATCGTCAGTGTTACGTTACGTCCCACAAGCTGGCAAAAAAACTGTAAACACTACACATTTTAATTTTAATAGCTCATAATGATAATAATTCTGTAATTTAAATATAAACTGTTAAATATATGTGTATGCATGAAAACTATTTAAATGAGTACAAAATATAATTATTTACGTAAAATGTACAATAAAATTCTACCGAACGTGGCGACAACTTAACCGTACGGAAAACCAACGTTCAATGGCGAGAATTCGATGTAATCTGTGGTAAGGATTGACGTAAATATTATAAAAATAATTGATTTTCAATATTTAATTATTTTTTCATTAATAATTTTTTTCTCAAAAAGTACGCGTTTCCGCATGTTGAAATTTTGCGTGTGTGTTTACAATAGTGTAACCTTTCTGTAAAAAAAATATCATATAATCTGAGATAGGGATTGACATAAATATTGCAAAAATAATTGATTTTCAAAAATTTTTTTCTCAAAAAGTACGCTTTTCCGCATGTTGAAACTTTATGTGTGTGCTTATATTAATGTAACCTTTCTGTAAAAAAAATATCAACCCCCAACTCGACGGACGTCAATGGAAAGCTTAGCCTTTAATTCTCTCTACTTTTATGCAGTACTGCATGCATATATTGTTGAAATTTATAATACATGTGATTGTAATTAGAAAGAACTAACTTTCAGTATACTCTACATGAATTTAAACTTGTAACTTGTCCTAATGTGGAAAAGAATTTTTTTTGTATGTTACAATAAAATGTGCCTAATGCTTGTTAAATAATATTTTACTTGAGGTAAGAGTGTATTGTATAATTTCATAATGCAATGGCTTTAGAAAAAGGTTAACATTTTTCAAGATTATGTATGTGTGTCTATTTCTTTAGCTCGCTCTGTAGCCAAAAGCCTGTGTCGTTAGACTCATCTTAATTGTGTGACTGACATGGGCTATATAATATTTACATGTAGCATCTGCAATATATACAAAACAAGGAAGAGGTAGGTTTCTTTTTACACAGTTGGGTTTTTTAATTACTGTTTTAACCATTTGATTGTTTTCTTGTAGCAACAATAGTCAATTTGCCATGGGCGCTTCTTGTTGAAGGTGATATTATAGTCTTGAGACCAGGACAGGAAGTACCAGGTCATTGCAAAGGTCTTCAACCAGAGGATCCAGAACTCTTTTTTGGACAGATTTTTCAACCTGGCGCTCAGGTAAATCAATGTTGACATTAAATAATTTTAATTAGAACCAGTCATCAGCAAACTATACTTGCATAATTAAGTGTTCTATGTCACCTGCCGGGCTAGCATGAGCAGGGGATAAAAATTTTATCCACCGATTATATCCACTGACAAGGGATAAAATTGTCTTATCCCTATGTCAAAGCTTTATCCACCCTGCGAGCATGGGCCTATAGTGGATATAATATCGACAGTAGATAAACTTATCCCCGCGCATAGATATACCATAGTATAAAGGTATAAACTATACTAGCTATAAACTAGTTTTAAGATTAAGTAGATTTACATTAACTTATAATTTCTTTTACTTTTGTTTATTATATTGCTAAACTATTTTTTTGTTAAACAATATGTCATTTATAATATTTGTTACACTTATTTTAAGCGTATTTCTGCCTTGTTTTTATTTTTTCTATTATTCCAATTCTTTCTTTATTTTCTTTTGTATAATATTTAAGTTAAATATACATTGCTTGTATCAAATCGCATGCATTACTTCGCTTGTGATAGCATTTATTAAAAAATATGTGTTTAGAATTAAGCCAATTGTGAAACGACAATACAGACCCTTTGGAGGTGGTGTAACCTCTTGAAGAAATTAAAAAAAATATATCCCCGCAATTACTGCCGTTATAAGAAAATTACAAAATACATCAAAGTTGATGTCTACTCTAAGTCACAAAGATTTAATTTTAATTGAAAATGATGAAGCATGAAGAATAATAATGTAATGATTTCAAACAAAACAAGGAATAAATAATTTTATAATCATGAGTATAGTATATTTAGCAAGCTTTGCTAAAGAATTAACATATTTCTTAATTGAAACCTTTGAATTGTAACTTTACTAAGTTTGATAACTTTATTTTAAAACGTTATAATACTTACCTAAAATATAGTATAGACCGATTCTATTATCATTAAATTTGACTTGACCTTGGACTCGCCTTGTTTATTGTTGACACAACCTATGTAATTAAATCATGGCATTGAGCTATTGAGACTTTTTTGGTCAAGGTGGTTGTAATAGATGCTTACTTCAATATGCACTGGTAGTCCATCCACAGAATTAATAGGCTTTAAAGCCTCATAGAGTTCATTACACAAATACAAAACAATCTTTGAGCATCCGAAACCGGCGTAGAAATTCGTTGTCGGAGAATTCCAATAGATTAAGTATTCTGATCACGTATCGATCGCTCATGTAATTGTCTTTCTTGTTTTTTAATTTCTGACACGAAAATGTAGTTGCAATAGGCTCGAGACATCTTTTATGTATTAAAATGGTTTGAAGATAAACTTAAACCCACGTCTGCGAAAAAGGATAAAATTGTCCCTTTCAAATGTCAAAAAGGGATAATTTTTTCTCTTTCCCTTGGCCTCATGCTACGGACGGGGAGATATATGTCCACTCTTTATGTCAAACGGGGATATACTATAGAGACAAGATAATTTTATCTCTTGTCAGTGGATATAATCGGGGGATATAATTTTTGTCTCTTGCCCATGCTCGCAGGGTGGATAAAACTAAGCAAGGGATAAAAATTATATCCTCTCTCCGGGGATATATTCTCTCCGGCTCATGCTAGCCCGGCTGAGGCATTAAAAAAAAGCCTCGTGTTTCTTACCTTTTCTCTGTGATCTTGTTTTGCTAAGAGGCGGAGATTTTAATATTCATAAGAGTTTTAAAAAAGCCTACATTTAATAAAAACATTTTTGACTTTAAGTGGTATATAAATTTATGTTCTGCAGTGAATGTCATATATTATATAATGAGTGTAATAGGCCACATTTGGTCATAACACTAATGACAAACTTAGAAAAAAGTGAATGTAAAATGCAGATGTTGATGTACCATGTCATTTGTGATACCTGCAGTCAGTTTTCTTTTTTTTATTATTTACTAGCAATCTGCCTCGGCTTCATACAGGGTGATTCTACAAGAACACCACCTACTGGGTCCAACTATGCCTGTAACTAATATGTGCAAGGAATATGTTGACAAAGTTTTACTGCAATCTTATGAACGGTATGGCAGCGCTTGAAATACGACAAACAAATATTATATTTTATATATATTAGATATATTCACAGTTTTTTCTAAACTACCCTCTTTGCGGAGGTTCTCTATCAGTCTTGGGATTATTAATATTTGAAAAACATGCATAAAAATTAATGTAATTTCTATAATTTTACTTTAATCTTTATCTTAATATCAATATTCATGACGTTATCAGACTATAACCCTTTTGCTGTCATAGGATAGCGAAAGGGTTGAGGTAGGACCGCACTAGGCAGAACTGCACCGCAGTGCAACTGAGCGACACGACGCGTCAAAATATTCTCTATATGACTTTATATGAGACAACATGCACTAAGCGGCAATGGAACTACACTGCAGCAGAACTGCGCGGCAAAGTTGATCAACTGACCAAACTCGTGTCGCTCAGTTCCGCTGCGGTGCAGTTCCGCCTAGTGTGGTAATTATTATACATTTGACCAATAAATAAAAACCTTTATGTTTAAATAAATAGATTGACTTGGCAATCACACTAAACGATCTAATTAATATCATGTATTATTTCAGATTGTTGTGTTTTCATCTAAAAGCTATATAGTATACCACACAATGTGCTACCAAGTGACTATCATTTTGATGGCATAAAATTTACCTTTATAGTCTAAGTCACTACATATAGGTCATTGCCTTACTATTGTGTCTGAAAACGTGACATCGAAAGTGTTAATACTTTAGAGATTTACAAGAAGACAGAACTTTCGAAGCATTAATTCAGAAAAATGTGAAATAAAGCAATGTCAAACATGTTAAACACAAACAACGAATTTAACATTTTAGAAAAGGTGCTTCAAATAACTCATGAATTTCGCACAATGATTTCAAAAATGTTTATTTGCTGCTTACTTTACTTCCGAAAAGTGACCACTTATTCAATTATTTTTATCTTAAACCTTGCATCTGTATTTGAGGATCCGCATATTATTACTATCCCATGTTTACGTTTAAAATAATACAGGATATTTTTTTTAACCAATGTTAATTACGTTATCCTACACTAGGATTTTCTCCTGTATTTTGACTAACATCCAGACCCGGAACAATTATTTGTAGGCCATACAAATACTTGTTCCGTGCGGGATTCGAACCCGCAACCCCCAGCGCAGCCACTCATTGCTAAGCCACTACGCCACGGAGTCGTCGTATATATCTGTAACAGTCAGACAGATAGATAGATTGAAGTAATTACAGATGAGTTTCATTTTACTTCTTTTGACACAGAATTAATAAATTTGGAGAGAGTAAGAAATTGCGTTGTTTACATAAAAATGTTTTAATTTCAGAATAAAGAAAATTTTAGCACACCAAGGGTACGCACACCACATCAAAACAAAGCTCACAAAATGTTAGAAACTCCATACTTAAAGAACTTAAAGTTAGCCTTGGAACAAGCTACAAACCGGCCAGTAACAGTGTTTGAAAAACAAAGATATTTGGTAAGTTGTATGGGTACTTACAGTAGGTATTTTATATTTTAACCCAAATTATGTAGAAAATTGTAATATTTAGAAATAAGTTGGAAATTTTGATATTTTTAAATGGACTTCAAAAACTAAAAGGAATACAATAATTTCCACATAATATCTTCTGATATCGGAGCATTATTTCTTCGATACACTATTTCTGAGTACTGACTTCAGATAGAAGCAATTATTTTCTAATTATTTTCATCTTTTTAGTTATGTATTGAAGTCGTATTTACCTATGTTTTTAAAATTAAATTTTTGCAATCTTTATTCAACATGATTATTACATCATTACCAAAAGGACATACCATCGGTATTCCTACGTGTAAGCAAAACGCTTGCGTCGCCGCCGTTTGATTGTACACTCCAATGATTGAATAACAAGACTCATACACTCCTTGACATCTATATAATATTGTACATTGAAATAAAGATAAGAAATATAATTTATTGAGGAACACATAAATAGTGGGAGACAATTCAATGTAGCTATAGTGCATATGATTTTATGGGGAAGGAGTGGTCCTTTTAAACCTAATAAAACAAACAAATCATTTTCTCTTCGAATGCACATTGAAATAAATTATATTATATTTAATAAATTATATCATATCAAGCAATTTATTTCAAGGTAATATAACTATATTGGTATCTTGTGCGATGCAGGTTTCCTCATATACATATAAGCAAGGTTAGTTTCCTTAAAACATCTTTTATAGATAGCCGTGGTAGCTAAGATGGTTAGCGCTCACTGTAAATTTCACAGAACGCGTGTTCGATCCCCGCCGGCACCAATGAAATTGTTAATTACAATTTTAAGTGCTGATTTACCACGTGCTCTGCGGTAAAAGAAAATATCGCGAGGAAATCTGCATATCTGGAAATAAGAAAAAATATATTTCGAAGACATGTGAAATTCACCAACAAGCATTGGGGCAGCGCGACGGACACTTCCTTGCCCTCAAACCTTCCCGGAAATGAGTGGAGGCCTGTGTCCAGCCGTGGGGCGTGTATAGGCCCCAAAACAAAAACTTAAGCATTATTAAATTTATTTATATTTTTGTCGACAGTGTACAGTTAAAATAATGGAGGGTATTGTATTGCCCCTTGTGATATCCTTAGTGGTTGTGGCTAGTTTTATACGTCATATGTATCATTTACCTGGCGTTACACACTGGACAGAGATCTATTTCCTACAAACGATTGCCGCATCTTTGCCTCTACTGCAAATAATCTTCCCAATAGCATGGGTCACTCTCAATTGCTATGGACTAGCGAGGTAATTATTAATCTTTTTCTTATCTTCTTATTGCTGGTAATATTGTAAATGTTAATTAATTTTGTTTTGAAGCATAAATTGTTAGCGTAAACAGAGGTTTTCGTTTGCATGCTTAAAATAGCTAGTGTACATATTTACGAAATATACCGGAAAGATTTTTCTTTTTATCAGCGTATTAAAGTCCACTACTGAACGCGAGCGTTTCCCTATGTGGGGGAGGGTTTACCTTTATCGCCACGCCACGCTTGGCATGTGAATTGACGTTCACGGTGTTAGCTTTATTATCTATATTGTCGAGAATGTTGCACTATTTCGATAATATCCCGGACGTCAATCTGAGCGAGATTAGAATGGCTCTCAAGTACCTTAAAAAGGGCAAGGTACTGCGGGAGGATGGAATTACAGCGGAACTTCGGAAAGCGAGTGGAAAACCGGTACTTACAAGTCTTTCAGAAGCTCTTTAAATCCGTCTTCCGTAGTGACACAACTCCAGGGGCGTGGAGCAGAAGTGTGATGGTCTTGATCTTCAAGAAAAGCGACGACGCACTATCAAATAACTACACACCGGTTTCCTTTTTGAGCTGCGTCTACGTGATGTTTTTGAGAGTCATTACGTATCGTCTCGCACGCATACTTGACGACTTTCAGCCTGTAAGGGAGCCTTTGTACAATAGGCGACCATATACATGCCCTTTGATAAATTGTATAGAAAACCGAAGAGTACAATCTGCCACTTTGCCTTGCGTATGTTGACTATGAAAAAGCCTTTGATTCCGTCGAAATTTGGGCAGTGCTACAGTCATTTCAGCGATGCCAAGTTGACTATCGGTATATACTTAGAACTGCTAAAATGCTTGTACAATAGGGCTATAATGGCTGTCTCACGAAATTCTTCACCGCTGCATTGAGAGATGTTTTGAAGATATTGGACTGGAAATGATACGGTAATAACACCAATTGCGACTATTTCACTCACGTTAGACTTGCCGATGATATAGTTCTTATGGCAGAATCGCTCGACGACCTCAACACTATGACGTCAATAGTGTCTCATTACGGTAGGTCTTAAAATGAACATTACAAAGATCATTTCTAACGTTTATGTAACATGCCGGTAGTTGTTGAGAGCACTACGTTCGAAGTTGTCGAAGATGTTTACCTAGAACAAATAGTCCAATTTAAACCGAGAGGTCAATCGAAGGGTACAACTCGGCTTGGCAGCGTTCGGAAGATTACGACACATCTTATCGTCACGTTTACCTTAAAACTTGAGAACAGGATTGTACAGCTAGTGCCTGTTGTCAGTGATTACATATGCATCTGAGACGTGGTCCTTCACTGCTGGCCGTATGAGGATTTTTAAGGTCGCTCAGCGAACTATGGAGAGCTATGCTCGGAGTTTTTTCGCGTGATAGACTTATAAATGAAAATATTCGCAGTAGAACCAGAGTAATTGATACAACCAAACGAATCAGTAAACTGAAGTCGCAACGGGCCGTGCATATAGCTCGAATAACTGACAACCGACGGGGATAAAAGGTTCTCGAGTGGCAGCTTAGTACCGGTAAGCTAAGTGTGCCACTAGCTGGAATGACAACCTGGTAAGAGATGCAGGAAGTTGATGGATGCAGGTGGCTCAAGACCGTGCTTTGTGGCATTTCTTGGGGGAGGCCTATGTTCAGCGGTGGACTTGTGAATGGCTGTAATAATAATCTAGAACGTTTGTAACTGACATCGATCTGAGTAATTTGATTGCGGCATTTATAAGGCTTTTATGTTGCAATTGAAAGAATCGATATTAGGTTAAATATTTTTGTGTACCCGCAGTAAACAAATACAGTCAATATTATCAATTTTTTTAGGTTTAAATTACTATCGAAAACTCGCCAAAAGTATGTCCGACCGAAATCGTGTTCGATATCTGAAGACGCCAGCGACCCACTTATACAGGCTCTCAGTGAATCCAACCTAAAGCCCGATAGTCTGCGGTCATTAAGCAAGACATTTCTGAACATACTTTTGGGTAGAGAGGATATGGTCACCAGAACTGCTAACATTGTCCATGTACTAGGATCTTTGTCGGTAAGTTTTTTCTTCGTAAAACATAGTCAACGAGGAGCACGGGGAAAAGACCTCTAACTAGAGATTAGAAAAAATATACAATAGTTATATGCTATGAATTGCTCTACATTTATATATAAAAACCATTCCACGCTCTCACAGAATACCAGCTTAAAATAGCAGCTTAATACTGATGTGTTTCGTACGGTGAGAGTAGAGATCCGGAGACCCTTTTTTACTGGAAACGAGGCATTCCATCTTAGTCCTCAATGGTGACAATGCATCTGCGTTTTGATTCTTAATCGAGGATAAATGTTGATGTCTATGGGCCACAGCATCCACTTACCATCAGGTGGACTGTGTGCTCGCTTGTCACCGTTATTCTATAAACCAAAACTAATAACTACTACTATATCGTAGAGGTGTTCTACATTAGTACGTAAATTGACCTATAAATGATTGTTTCGTTAAAAAAATTGTACCTTTGTGTTTCTAAACTAATACAAACAAGTGTTACAAAGGCTACCTATTTTCAGGCTTTATGCTGCATAGACAAAAAAGGTATCCTATCATGGCCAAATCCAACAGCAGAAAAGGTGTTCTTCCTTCGCAACTCCAGCCCCACATCGCCAAACTCAAGTAAGACCAGTCTCGTGGGTTCTATGGGCCACAACAGTCAAACAACAATGGAGACGGGCGACAACAAACCTAAGCCAGACTCTTCAACTATTGTTGAGGTATTTACATACTATATGTATACATTTAATTTTTTACGTAAAAGAGCCACGCTGCAGTTATATTATAGTTGTAGCACGAATGGGTCGGCTCGTCCGGGGCAGGACCACGCTCTCACAGAACACCAGCGTAAAATAGCAGCGTAATGCTGCTGTGTTTCATATGGTGAGTGTAGAGAACCGGAGACCATTTTTACTGCAGTCGAGGCATTCCATATTAGTCCTCAGGGGTGACAATGCATTTGCATTTTGATCCTTAGTGGAGGATAAATGTGGATGTCTATGAGCCACAGTATCCACTTACCATCAGGTGGACTGTGTGCTCGTTTGTCACCCAATGCTATAAGAAAACATAAACTCTATTTTTTTATAAGTTTGAAGTGACAATTGAACTTACAGTCCACGCGGTGGTAAGTTGCTACTGCAGTCTCCTGCAGCTAACTTCAAACAAAATGGGCTGTAGATGTGTTGTTACCCAGAGGACTAAGATGGAATGCCTGACAGCTTGCAATTATACTGGTCCTCTATACTCTTCAGATCGGAAACCAGCAGTGCAAGCACTGCTATTTGGCGGCAGAAGGATTTAACAGGGTGGTAACTATACAGACCGACTCCTAGGAAATTGCAACTATTCTACATTATATATAAATACTTTAACAAAAGCAAAAGAAAGAACAGATTGATTTTGTATGTTGAAGTACAAAATCTATACAATAAAATAAATTTGAAGTGTTTGTAATATCAAAACAACATATTTTTACTGAATGCATATGAAAGTATGTACGGTACTTATAACAATGAAAACTATTTTTAAATTTTTTGTCTGTCAACCCGTCTCCGCAATTGCTAGACCGATTTTGAAGGAAGGAGTGACTTGGGCTACTTTTATTATAAATTAAAATATATGAGTTTAGGCGATTATATGAGAATTAAAAAATATGAGTGTTCCGCTCAAATACCTAAATTAAAACCCATGAAATCCAATTGTAATAAATTAAGCTAGTCTGTAATTATCAATATTGGCAATTCATGCTTGAAATATTATAAATAGAATCAATGTGATTATTTAATAGCGAAACCCAGGTTATTCGATCTCTGAAAAACACTTGAACTACCACGGCTCTGTAACCAAACCAACAATTAAAGGGAAATGTATGATGTTGCTGAAGGTACTGGACCTGACCCACGACCAGAATGCGCCGTTCCGCGTGGAGTTCGACGAGCAGCGCTGGCGGCTCCACATAGCGCGCCTCAAGCCGCTCGGCCTGGCGGCGCTGCTCAACACGTGCGCGCCCGCGCCCCGCCACACGTACGCGCACTTCTGCGCGCACCTCACCTGCGAGGCGCAGTACAGGTATGATGCGGCCCTTACTCTGCCGCATAGAAAAGGACCGTAACCGTTACACCCTGTTAAAGGCCCACTGCTCTACAGAACTCACCCACTAAGACATCCAAGGATGAGTTAGTGGATATTCTTATATCACCACTACACTGACACGGTCGTAGAATACTATAATACACAATAGAATGGCTGTCAACTTTATTTTAACTATCTCTGTTAATCTTATATAAATATCTACGTTACGTACGTTCTTCCAAGAGATCAGTCCAAAGGAGTTTCTTGCTGGACATTGACCTCTTCTAATGTCGTGTGTTAGTTGGTGGTTCCCATAACCGTCATGTATGCAGGCTGATTGGCGATCGCACTATCAGACACCTCGCGCCTTTGACACCAGTCCCTGTCGCTGGTCTGGTTATTATACATCTGAGGCATGTTTCTGAGGCCAAGAGATCTTTCTAGGATTTTCCCATTATCCCTTTTTACGTCTTGATAGAATAAAACAGGGTGACGGTTGTCTTATGCCACTGCTACAAATAATATTTAAGTTGCTAATTCAGTAATGTTATTCATGTTCAACGTTCAGTGAGGACTTAGTGCCGGTAACAAACAGACGCTGCCTATGCGAGCTGGCCAAACAAATTGGCTTCACGGACTCTGTTGCTGAAACTTATACCATTCAGGATTGTCTTGCTGTCTTCAGACACCTGGTAAGTTTTTGTCCGACTCGAAGTACCAAATAATTTTATATGTTAATAAAGTTTTTAAGAAAGTTCAGTATTATTATCAATGACTGGAGTTTTGGCGGGAACTTGGTCGTAGACGTGGTTTGAAGTGGATTTTGATTCGTAAAAGTGATTCGATTTTGTGAATTAAATGTCCGCGCGGGCGAACTATTAAAGAAATGACTAAACAAGTGCTTTGATGATAAACCTCAAGTTATTTTGATCGCTTGGGCGCCTTATGAGCTTGAGTGGCTGTCGTCATCAACTGTCCGCTGAGTTGAGCTGTCGTCAAATTCTCCCAAGGGCTTCGCAATGTGACGCATCAGCATATTGTGAAGATAAAATATAAAAATGAAGATTCCGAAAGAAATGATAGGCTCAGAAGGGCTAGAACCCAGAGCCGTAAAGCCAGTTAATAAAAAAATATCAATGTCCGAAAGTCAACAATAAGCTTAATTTTTTAATTGCATGTAATATTTATATTAGCAAATTCATTACCAAAGTTTTTCATATTCACAACAGCAAGCTGACACGATAAGGCGTGAAACTCGGTTTGCTAGATCACTGCACCTCAGTACGAGAGTGAAGGTTCCCCTTCCGCATATGTTGGCTGTCATCGTGAAGGATCAAGCCAACCAACTCCAGATGTTAACACAGGTGGGGATGAATTAATTGTATAAATTTAATTTATAAGCAGTGTGATATGTACTTAGGTTTATGTTACATCCTCTCTCAAAACCAAGGCATTGGTGCGACATCACGAATAACACCAGTCTCACCACCACAACACTACAAGTAAACTAAAAAATATATAAAGATATTTAATAGTTACTTTGCAACCATCCGCTCAATTAAATGATGGGTCTTACCTAGCTTGAAGAACACTCCCCGCCCTCCCTCATTTGCGTGCACTAATCCCGTCACCACTAATCCCAGCACCACTACTCTCTCTAAGTGTACTTAGCGGTCAGCCGCCGTAGAGTTTAGAGAGAGTTACATGAAGATTCCCCGTGTAGAGGCGAAACACGTTTCTTATTATCGTCAATGGTGTGTCTTTCCTAGAGTAGTGGTGTTGGGATTAGTGCTCGCAATTGAGGGAGGGCGGGGGTGCTCTTCAAGCTAGGTAAGACACATCATTTAATTGAGCGGATGGGTGCAAAATAACTATTAATATCTTTATTATAATGGATTTCGGCAAAGTAACGCCTGATTCTATCAATTAAAAAAACGACAAAAATAAGAAATAGCTCAGTCATTTTGTTGTTTGTCTAAATGATTTTCAGTAAAATCTTGGTTTTTCCTGTCCAATCGATCCATTTAATGCCTTATAGGTAGCTTTACTTTGCATGTCGTCTCTTTGTCATTTATGATACACTATCGCCACTCTTATAAAGAAGAACATACAGAACAATTGATTTCTTAATATAAGTTTTTTAATAAATATACTAGCTTTGTTAATAAATGGACTGGTAATGGGCCAAGCTTTCTAAGATTTCTTGCCTGAATTGGGAGCATAACGGAATCTGATATATGTATATAACATATGTTATAAGTCTTTAGGCGTGTTCAAATCATTATTGGATGAATTGAATCATGAATTTAGAGCTTTGTATTTATGCTCAATTTCAACGCATCTTGAATAAAACTATACGAGTTTTATCGCGTATAATTAACTATTTTTAAATACCGATGTTTCAGGTGTTTTATAGCACCTATGGTCACAGGGAGACTGAGATGTTTGACGTCCCAATGTCATAATTAGCCCGGCTACCTTCAGTTTTTTTTATATTAATTTTTTGGTCCGATCTACGCAGAACATGCTTACAGTTCAACCTCAAGCATACCACTGCGAGACAAGATACTGTACGCTCATTCTGTTATGGTTCTTTATTCAGTATATGTCACTGTTTTATACTTGGTAGAGCCACGATGCAACTATTGTGGTTGTAGCACGAATGGGTCGGCTCGATCGGGGAAGGACCACGCTCTCACAGAATACCAGCGTAAAATAGCAACTCTGTGTTTTGTATGGTGAGTGAAGAGAACCGGAGATACTTTTTATTGGAAACGAGGTATTCTATATCCTCACGGGTGACAACGCATCTGCACTATGATTCGTAATCGAGAATAGATGTAGAAGTGGGCCGCAGCAACCACTTACCATTAGGTGGACTGTGTGCTCGTTTGTCACCCTATCCTATGAAATTAAAAAAAACGTGCGCTTGAAAATTAAAATGAAATTTCGTGTTTTGAGTAATTGAGCCTTCGGTTTTCGTTATTCATTAGATAAAACCGCAAATGTAAGAACGTTGTCTTCCTTTGGTCATGTCAATCTATTTACGTCTCAACGAACCTTATTGCGAGTTGGCGCCTATTATTATATGCAGGGTACAGCGGACATAATACTCGATTCATGCGTTGACTATTGGAATGGGCGGGACCTCACACCGATATCGGCGTCAGATCGCAAGAAAATAATTGACTTCTACCAAAGAAACTCCCTCACGGCCTACTGCACAGCTTTTGCTTACAAGTTAGTATATGTTTTAATGTATTTTGTTTATTCTTATGTGTATATATTTATGATCATTAATAATATAGAATTTGTTACAAAAAAAGGATCTACGCTCTATTGAGGACAATTATATGTGGAAATAATCATTAATCTGTACTTAAAAATGCCTAGTGTATATAACAGACTAGTGATATATTGTTAAAATTTAAAATTAAAATAAAAAAAACATTTGTAATCAAAGTTATAACACATTCATTATAGTCTTTCAAATTACTCGTATATTGCAAGACGTCGTCATAAATAGCCGCATAATAGGTTATGCCATCGTTGCCACGCTTGGTATTATTAGCAAAGGTACTATTAGCAAAGCGCTGCTGCTATTTTACCATCTGACGCTTTTATGACACACGAAATTGTATTACTAATATCCCCAAGTTTCTTGTTTTTTTTCTGAAGTCTTGTTTTTCCAACCGGTGTAAATTTTACATTCATACGAGCTTTAAAAAACCGACCAAGTGCGAGTCGTACTCGCGCATGAAGGGTTCCGTAACATCGTACAAGATTTAATACTATGTAGGTTCTTTTAAAATACTTTTGTAAAGGAAAAAACACGTCTCCTGTATGGAGCTATGATATAGATATATTAATAGTATAGTTGTAGCATGAATGGGTTGGCTCGACCCGGGTAGGACCACACTCTCACAGAATACCAGCTTAATACTTCTGTGTTTCGTATGATGAGTGTAGAGAACCGGAGACTCGTTTTACTGGAATCGAGGCATTCTATCTTAGTCCTCAGGGGTGACAACGCATCTGCATTTTGATTCTTAATCGAGGTTAAATGTAGATGTATATGGGTATCCACTTACCATCAGGTGGACTGTGTGCTCGTTTGTCGCCCTTATTTTATTAGAAAGAGGGTATAAATAAGAAATAATACTATTAACTCTATACAGATTTTTAATTGTGTACAAAAAAATCAATGAAATATATTCACATGTTTAGCTTCAAAATTTTTATTTGTGATGTGAATAAATAAAAAAATGAGTCGACAAAATAAAGAAAGCAATGTTAAGGTTTTCTAATATTAGAGATGGACTGAATATTCGTTTCATATTCTGTATTCGGCATATTAGGCAGCTTTACCTAATATTCGTCTAAATCACCGAACATTCGTTAAAGTGGTTGTTTAGGCCTAATTTAACGTTTGGCGGCCTGCTTCGGCGCTCGGGTCGAGCGGGAGGCGAGCCTGACGGCTGAGGCGCGGGGGGTGCGGGCTGGTGCGGCGTCCGGCCGCGCCGGCGTCGGCGTTTTTGCGAACACTTGCCGCAGAGCGTGGAACTGAGTAGTTGCGCGTCGTGTTAATAGCTTAGTCGCCCGCTGCCTCTGACGCCTATACTTCGCGAACCTGAGTTGTTTGCAACGCGGCCCGGTGATATTGCATTTTTCACAAAGGTCGAGTTTGTTGTAACGCGAGTTCGGTTAAATCTTGTTGGATTTTATTGGATTAACCTAATGACAATTGACTTGACTCCAATTAACAAGTGAGAAACGAGTGTAATTTCCTAGATTCTTAAATTTTTGTGACGGACTGCCACTTCGATATAAAGAATAAAGGTGAAGCCTTGGGATCGGCGGTTCTGCAACCAGCGGGAAGTCAGGTTACATAATTTAACACAATCACAACACAACCCAGTCAAGCACGCCCACACTTACACCTGAATCTTCCTAGGGTTGACCCTACTTCGAAGAAATAGGTAAGTTTTGTTTGGTTCCCCTTTTTACCGCTAACGTGTAATATTCCACAAGCCATTTAGGCCGACCTCCTGTTACTCGTCGAGTGGAACCCCTGATGGGCCCGGGTCCCACGACCTTGCCCGGGTAACTAGAGGCCGTAACATTTGGTAGCAGTGCGTGGTTTTCCTGATGGGTTTTGAAACCACTCCCAGCGCAATACGTAAGTTGGTAGCAAGATAGCGGTTGTAACCACGTGGCTGCTGGTTGTGTTTGTTGCAATACGTAATAATAATTTGTTTTATTCGCTTGTTATTTGTTAGCATAGGATCGGTGTATAGAACCGTGTAGTAACCGTATTTTTTGAGTTTTTTTATTTACTTTATCTGGTCGCTTACTTTGTTAAGTGTTAGAATTGAGCCACGCCCGTAAGCCGTGGTGGTAAGGAATTATTGTACTCTCGTTATAATAATCGTGAGGACGAACCGTAATTGTACTAATTAAATTAATTGCGTAGTATAATTTACTGATTGGATAAATAGTATTTTGTATTGTATTATTTTTATTGTGATAATTAAACTAATTGTGTAAAGTAATTTGTACTAAATTTAAATTAAAGTAATTTGTACGGTGATAATCGTACCTTGTAATGATGCCTTCACACCGGTCACCGACGCTTCGCTTACAAGCGGAACTGCGCTGGGCTGCGAATGCTCACAGCTTGATAGGGAGACCAGATAGAATCCATAGCTTGGAGAAGCGGCTCGAGCAAGTCATGGCCCGAAGGGCCGTAGTGGAGGAGGCATGCTCCGAGATTATGGCTTCGGGAGCGGAACAGGGAGTCCTAGACTCCTGTCTTTCCGACTATGAGCAATTTTTTGCTCTCACGGATGACCTGATTGAGGCAGGGGCCAAGCAGGCTAGTGACGCGCGTGAAGCTCGGCTGGGTGTCCTGCTCGAGTCCCCTCGGAAGCAGCCCACTCACCCGGAGCTGTTGGGACGACTTCCCACTCTGGACCTGCCAAGGTTCTCCGGGGTCCTCTCCGAGTGGTTAACGTTTGTGGGACTTTTTGACAGCCTGGTGGATGCCCGGAGGGATTTAACACCAAGCCAGAAGATGGCGTATCTCCTGGCCTCATTAGAGGGGGGAGGCCTTGGGCGTCGTCGGCCATTTGAAGGTGTCGGACGACGCCTACCTGAACGCTCGGGACCTCCTGGCCGGAAGGTATGCCAACGTACGGCGAATTGCGGACGAGCACGTCAAACTCCTGTTGAACCTCCCGCTGCTAAAGGACCGGGCCCGACTACGACCGGACATCGTAAATCCGGTCTTGGTGGCCTGCAACTCGTTGAGACGGCTGGATTTGCCGGTGGACGAATGGTCCTTTTTGTTGCTCCATATTGTGCTGTCCCGCCTACCTCTCGATCTTCGACTCCATTTTGAGGAGAGGTACGGCGGAGACGGCGCCTCCTATATTCCTCCCTTCAGTGATCTGCTGCGGTTCTTGGAGGAGCAGTGCCGGCAGATCGAAAACGCAGCGGGCACCGCCGAAGATCTACGGACTGCTAACCGAACCGTGACCAGGGAAAGGCGAACCCCCCCGGCCAAGTCGTTGTCAACCCCCCTCAGACCGAGTGGTGCTCCTGCGGGAGGGCGCCCCCTCCTATCATCTTATAGTGGCCTAGTGGCCAGGAAGGCGCCCCCCTGCTCCTATTGTAGAGCAGCAGAACACCGGGTGACGTCGTGCCCTAAGTTATTAGGCAAGCCTGCCTCAGCGAGACGAACCATCGCCAGGGAGCGCCGCTGGTGCTATTCATGTTTAGAAAGGCACCTCCAACGAGACTGCCCGCACCAGCGGCCCTGTCCGCACTGCCAGGGCAAGCACCACGCCGTTTTGTGCCTGGGCGCGAACGGCTCTTTCTCTCGGGGCTCTGCCGGGCCCTCATCCCCCACGGGCGGGGGCGCCCAGCCACCCCCCTCTGACAGGTGACGCTCGTCGCTCTCCTACCGACGACCCTGCCCCTGGGTTTGGAGGGGGTTCCTCTTACGACCAGTCGGGGGGTCGTTCCCCCAGGGGCGGGGGGTTCGTCACCCCCCCTCGGAGGGTCGAGAGGGACTTCACGGCCACTCAGCGGTCAGCGAGATCCTTCTCACCCCCATTAGCAGAGAGGCCGCGACTGGAGTACCACCCCCCCCCTTTTGGTCGGTCCCGCTACTACGGGCTCCCTGAGACCTCGAAGCTGTCCAGGGCCTCCAGGCCAAGGTTCCCAGAAGCCCCCCAGGTCGGCCCGTTCTGCGATTTTCATCCACGGGTCAGTGAGATGCCGCCGGAATTCCGTTTTCCGGACCCCCCGGCTTGAGTGCCGGTCCGACGAAGGCAGCTCCCGCTAGGAAACTGCCGCCCTAGCTCCCACCACGGCCGCCTTCACTGATCCTTTAAGCCGTCCGCAGTCCACCTGTCAAACTGTTCTATTGCCGACGGCCGCCGTGAAGGTGTACAACCCGAGTGGCGACTGCTTAACTGTTCGCGCTCTATTGGATTCAGGCTCACAACGCTGTGTGGCCTCCACTCGGTTAGTGGGAAGACTAGGGCTCCCCTGGAGCTCTAAATCATGTCCAATGGTAGGTATTGGAGGTGCAGAGCCTCCTGCTCCTAGGGGACAAGCAAGGCTGGTGTTTGGTCCTGCAAGCGAACACCTCCACATCTTAGTTAAGGTAAATGTCCTCGATGATATTGTAGGCTTTCTCCCTAATGCCCGTATAAATGATAGCGCGGTTTGTTGTACGTCTGGCTTGAGACCGGCAGACCCTCAATGGTCCCAACCTGGGCCTATAGATTTGTTGCTGGGGGCCGACGTGCTGGGGTTCATCCTGTTAGGCGAGATACGAGCCCTACAGCCCGATGGCTTGTCAGCCGTGTCCACTGTATTTGGGCACAGTTTCTTTGGACCGGTTCTGTGGTCTCCACCGCATCAGGCAGCCGACCCGCTCCCTGTGGCGGGCGTGTCTCTTTCGGACGTCGTCCAGCGGTTCTGGGAAATTGAGGAGCCGCCACACGCGCCTCGAGTCAACCCTCTGGACCGTGAGTGCGAGTTGTTCTACCAGAACAATACCGGCCGCCGTGTCGACGGTCGCTTTGTCACCCGCTTACCCTTTCTTGACTCACGGCCTCCTTTGGGCCAATCTCGGACCATGGCCGAAAAGAGGTTGCTTTCTATGGAGCGCCGTATGCGTCGCGACACAGCCTTTCGCGACAAGTATGTCGAGTTCATGCGCGAATATCAAGAGCTGGGTCACATGTCACCTTCTCATTTCGACTGGCGATCACATGAACACTACTTCCTCCCCCCACCACGCGGTTTTGAAGTCCCCTGGGAGTAAGATTCGGGTGGTTTTCGACGGCTCCGCCCCCTCGTCCAATGGGGTGTCCCTGAACCAGTGTCTCCACTCTGGTCCTAAATTGATCAAGGACATATCCGACATTTTGACCCACTTCCGTCGGCATCAAGTTGTTTTTGTAGCCGACATTCGGATGATGTTTCGACAATCAGTGGTCCACCGTGATGACCGTCGATATCAGCTGATCCTGTGGCGCGAGAAGCCCAGCGATCCGATACAAGTGTTCGAGTTGAACACCACCACCTATGGACTCCGATCCGGCCCGTATGTCGCCATGCGAACCCTCCTCGAACTCGCTGAGAGAGAGCGCCTAAGATACGCTCGGGGGGCTTCTATTTTGGAGACCTCGGTCTACATGGACGATATTTGTACGGGTGCCTCCACCGTCGAGGAGGCTCTCGTATTGCGAGACGAATTGATTGCCATCCTGAAGTCGGGAGGTTATGAGCTGCGCAAATGGTTGTCGAACTCCCCTCATATTTTGAAGGACCTCCCTGGAGAGGATCAACAAGACCCTCATCTATTCGAGCACCCTGACAATCCTAATTTGTTGACTGTGCTTGGCATTCAATATCAGCCTGTTCAGGATACCTTCACGTATCGAGTCAAGCTCGATCCCCCCCCTAAATCATGGACCAAGCGCTCTGTGTTGTCAACTGTAGCTCGCACCTTCGATCCTAATGGTTGGATTACTCCGGTCATCTTTTTGGCTAAGTGTTTCCTTCAAAAACTCTGGATATCCGGGTTGGGCTGGGACGATCCTATAAGCGGTGCTCTCTTGCGAGAGTGGCTCTCAATTGTGTCCTCCCTTCCAGACATCGACCGGGTCTCCATGTCAAGGTGCTTCCTCCCTCCAGGGAAATGCAGGGTTACCCTGCACGGATTTTGCGACGCCTCTGAGAAGGGTTATGCTGCTGTTGTATATTTGCGGACGGTGAGCTCTTCTGGCCATACTTCCGTCCATCTCGTACTTGCTAAAAGCAAAGTGGCTCCCATTAGGTCCCGCTTAACTATTCCTAAGTTGGAACTGTCTGGAGCTGCTCTTCTCACGCGACTGCTCAACCACGTTCACTCCTCCTTGAAGTCGGTAATCGACATTACGGACGTCTACGCTTGGTCGGACAGTGAGATAGTACTTTGTTGGCTCCGAGCGGCACCTCACAATCTTGAGGTCTTCGTGTCGAATCGCGTGTCCCAAATCCAGAATTCTGCCACTTGTCTAACGTGGAGACATGTCCCAGGGGAGTTGAATCCAGCAGACTGTGCTTCTCGTGGCTGTGAAGCCCCCTACTTGGTTGATCACCCGCTGTGGTGGGGGCCCGGCTGGTTAACTGAGTCTCAGGCGTTCTGGCCCCAGAACAAATACTCTGAACCAATTGAATTGCCTGGCCTACGAGCCCGAGTAGGAGTGGTCAAGGATAAGCCCACTCGTGATCTCTCCTTACTAGAACGGTACAGCTCTCTCGACAAGCTCTTGGGAGTAACTGCTTGGTTGCGTCGATTTGTCCGCAACTCGAGAGACCCATCTAACCGAATATCTGATTCCGCCTTGTCCCCTAGCGAGCGGCGCGAAGCCTTGATGCATTGGACCCGTATGATCCAAGCGGAGCATTTCGAGCTCGTGATTGATACCTTGAAGCGGGGCTTAGTTGTCAAGGGTGCGCTGGCCCGCCTGAACCTCTTCCTGGATGACTCGGGGATGCTTCGCGTGGGCGGACGTTTGAAAAATTCTCAACTGCCGTACGAGGCTCGACACCCTCTACTGCTCCCCAAGGACGGCGCCTTTGTTCGGTTGCTGGTAACTCACTACCATGTTCAGAATGCCCACGCTGGGTGCAACGCTCTTTCGGCCATTTTGCAGCGGGAGTTTTGGATTTTGGCGGGTCGACGCACCATTCGGAGCGTCATCTTTAAGTGCATATCTTGTTATAAGTTGAAGGCCCCCATATCACAGCCGATGATGGGCGACTTACCACCCGACCGCGTCAGGGCCATCCGACCATTCGCGGGAGTCGGAACTGACTTCGCTGGCCCCTTCCTCGTCAAGTCCTCTAACCTTCGTAACGCGCGTGCTCATAAGGCCTATCTGTGCGTTTTCGTGTGCCTCTCCACTAAGGCTGTTCACTTAGAACTTGTAAGTGCCCTTAGCACGGAGGCTTTTTTGTCCACACTGGGTCGCTTCGTATCGCGTCGCGGTTTACCGGACCTGATCCGGTCGGATTGCGGAACGAATTATAAGGGTACTGATAGGTATTTGAAGGAGGTCGTTGAATTTCTGTCTAGCAACAGGACCTATTTAACTACTGCGATGTCCAAGAAGGGCATCCAGTGGAAATTCGACCCTCCGGCTTGCCCACACTGGGGCGGTATTTTTGAGGCGGTGGTGAAGGTTGCAAAGACGCATCTCCGTCGCGTTATTGGCGAAACTATTTTGACATTTGAAGAGCTTGCCACTGTATTCTGTAAAATTGAAGCAGTCCTCAACTCTCGGCCCCTCTGTCCTCTCTCGTCCGATCCGAATGATTTAGAGGTTCTAACCCCTGGCCACTTCCTGATAGGCCAGCCGCTTAACGCCCTGCCCGAGTACCCCTTCCGGGAAATAATCTCTTCGCGGTTGAGCAGATTTGACATGCTGCAACAAATAACTCAGAGTTTTTGGCACCGATGGTCTCTGGAGTACCTACATCTTTTGCAGCAGCGCGTTAAGTGGTCTGACAAGACGGACCCCCCTCGGGTTGGAGACCTCGTGTTAGTTAAAGAACCTAACGCCTCGCCCTTGTATTGGCGCCGTGGGCGCATTGTCAAGTTGTCGTATGGACCGGATGGGATCCCTAGGGTGGCCGAGGTTTTGGTTGGAGATTCGGTTTTGCAACGTGCCGTCTCTACCCTATCCCGCTTGCCAATTTACTCGCGGACCTAGATCCTCATGTCCGGGACGGGGGCTTGTTTAGGCCTAATTTAACGTTTGGCGGCCTGCTTCGGCGCTCGGGTCGAGCGGGAGGCGAGCCTGACGGCTGAGGCGCGGGGGTGCGGGCTGGTGCGGCGTCCGGCCGCGCCGGCGTCGGCGTTTTTGCGAACACTTGCCGCAGAGCGTGGAACTGAGTAGTTGCGCGTCGTGTTAATAGCTTAGTCGCCCGCTGCCTCTGACGCCTATACTTCGCGAACCTGAGTTGTTTGCAACGCGGCCCGGTGATATTGCATTTTTCACAAAGGTCGAGTTTGTTGTAACGCGAGTTCGGTTAAATCTTGTTGGATTTTATTGGATTAACCTAATGACAATTGACTTGACTCCAATTAACAAGTGAGAAACGAGTGTAATTTCCTAGATTCTTAAATTTTTGTGACGGACTGCCACTTCGATATAAAGAATAAAGGTGAAGCCTTGGGATCGGCGGTTCTGCAACCAGCGGGAAGTCAGGTTACATAATTTAACACAATCACAACACAACCCAGTCAAGCACGCCCACACTTACACCTGAATCTTCCTAGGGTTGACCCTACTTCGAAGAAATAGGTAAGTTTTGTTTGGTTCCCCTTTTTACCGCTAACGTGTAATATTCCACAAGCCATTTAGGCCGACCTCCTGTTACTCGTCGAGTGGAACCCCTGATGGGCCCGGGTCCCACGACCTTGCCCGGGTAACTAGAGGCCGTAACAGTGGTCAAAGTACTGTATTGAAATTACGAATTGAGTATCTTTCATAATTTTACTGTTGAAAGTATATTTTATTTATGGGTTAAATCTACTGGTATAGCATTATGGTTTTGAGGCACTGTCGATTTTTTTCCAATTACAGCAAATAGAAAGCTTGATAAAATATTTTTGGAATCAAACAAAGAAACATTACATTAGTACATTTCACTTTACTTTGGTCGTCAGTTTCTCTAATATAAGTCTCCTGCCACTAATTTTTATCATATAATTATCAATTTTCACTAAGAACAACACAACGAAATACTTTTTTCTCACTAAGATGGTCGAAACATAAGCATGTGCCGGTAATTTTCTTAGTACTAGATATGGCGGAGAAGCGAGAGACAAGGTCCGGCGCTGATCCGCGCTTTACAGTAACAAGTTTCGATATAAATCGGTTAGGTACCGAGGTGATCCTACCGAACAATGTTCGGCCGAATATTCGATTCGGTAAAAGTTTAACCGAACTTTCGGCCAAATATTCGTATTCGGTGAAAGCCATATTCAGAGATGGCTCTGTCTAATACATGATGTAATAATTTGTTTGAAAATAATGTGATATATTTTTTTTTCTAAATCAATTTTCCATGTTCTTTGTACAGTCACATATGAAATCAGAGATAGTCAACAATTTATTTTGCTTGACAGGCCTTTAACCCGCGGCATAGCCGCGTCCCTCTCACGCATGTACTTAGAACTGCCGGCCGATAGCCGACGGTTGTACGTGCCGAACTCCCAACTGTGGGCTGATGCGCCCGCGCTGCATTTTCACTCTACGGGTAAGTATGAATGAGTTAATGACAAAAGAAAATGTTGCCATAATATGTTAGTGTTAAATGTATTTAACACTAACATATTATAACAAACTATATAAATTTCTTTAACTTACGATATAAAAAAAGTAAAACTATAAATTAAAGAAAACTTTAGACCTAAAGAATAAAATATTTATGGTACATACTGATATAATAACCAACAAATAGCAACAATGCTTATTTTCAGCTTATAATATAAGTTTATGAGTTAATATGGAGATTTATGTCAATTACTTGGATTTTTTTGAGATAAATATAATATAACCAGTGATAAAAAATCATAAGTCCTTAAATGGCACTGAATAGCATAAACATAAAACTACATAAATACATTTAAAAAACAATACATAAGGACCCAAATCAATAAATATAATATAACATGATAAAAAATCATAAGTCCTTAAATGGCACTGAATAGCATAAACATAAAACTACATAAATACATTTAAAAAACAATACATAAATGACCTAAATCAAAAATAAAACTACTAAACATATATCTGCAGCAGAACATTTTCGATTTGAAGATACATACCTTGTCTTGTATTCCAATTTTAAATGACAAATAAAAATTCGCATGGTAATGCATTTTTTTAAAATAGTATAGGAAAGTAAAAACAAAGTTGATTGTTTCAGATTCACTATTGTTCAATGAAGTAACGGATGACGACGTCAACGACGCTGACGGATATTTTGACATGCAATGCAATCAGGTATTTTCTTCAATAGGTCTTCGGAAACGATTGTTAGGCCCGGTTTACTTTTTGAGAGTGCGTATTCTATTCTCACTTATCACTGTCTGTTCACACGTACTAAGCACTTGACATTTTTTCAGTTGCACTTGCTACTCGCACTTGTCACTTCTCAAAATGTAAACCGGGCCTTAATTGTCCCGTAATAAAATCGTATCGAGGCATTCTATCTTGGTTCTCAGGGTTGATAATGCATCTACATTTCGATTCTTAATCGAAGATAGATGAACTTATCTATATGGACCACAGCATCCTCCAGACAGAATTTCGATCACGGTGGTCAGTTTTATAGGAGATTAACCATCTGCCTAGGACAAGGTTATAGTGCCCGAATATACGCGCAAGAACAGCTGCACTCTCTATTACCTTACTTTACCATAGTCTGGGACGGTAATCCGACACGACCGGAGAAAGACCTGGTGCAGAATCAACGGCTTTGTTTTCCGAGGCACGTGGGTGTAACATCGCTAACTTCGTGACTCCGGCCTGCTACTGGGAATTTCTTGACAGAAAAACCCAATAACTGATTTCGGCCTGACCCGAGATTAGAACCGGGACCTCTCATGATCAGCATTCGCGGTTACGACCATAGAATACTTTAATACACAATAGAATGGCTGTCAACCTTACTTTGTACGAGGGTCGGCGTCGCCGGGAGCACACATACAAGCAATTACGTCGTATTGTCAGTTAATCACTACTACAAACTCGATTCGCTGTGTTTACAGACGGATTTTAATACATATTTAGTTGTAAATAGCGTGCAAATTGGCATTTTCTAAATAATTTGCATGCGAAATTTGGAAACGATTGTAACGTCAAAACACATCTCGTGTTGACATTTATACGTGCGAATTGATGTATTAGTGACATTTTAGTGGCTACACGGGCTCCGCCCATTCCCCCGTTCTATTATGTATGATAGTATTCTATAGTTACGACCACTAAACCAGCGAAGTAGTCGGACCAATTGATTGTGTACTCGGTATATAAAAATATACCATGTCTACACGATACCCACGGAATAAGATAGGAATAACGGGCTACCTCACGTGATATCAACTTGCAGGTGTTCATCGGTATGGTGACGATGCAGTACCAGGCGCAGAGCGACATGGTGGAGCTGATCGAGCGCTTGGAGCGCGCCTGCATCCGCTTCGTGCACTTCAGCAAGGAGAACGAACTGCGCTCGCGCGTCTTCAGCGAGAAGATGGGCCTCGAGTCCGGCTGGAACTGCCACATCTCGCTCATGAGCGACGTCGCCGCCAGGTAGGCATTGAAAGAAAGAAACATCTTTATTTAAAACTATGTAATAAATAATTATACATTAATCTAGCAACAAATAGGCGTACGAATTAGCATTGTGCCGAAGTGTTACAACCACAGCGCTAATATTATGTCGATGACCTTTTCAAAAACTCAAGAGTAGTCGGTTTTATCAACACAACTAACTAAACAATAGTTTTCTGTCTCTTTCTCTCAATCCCCAAATGTCATTTTAGTGTTGTGCATGTTGGTAATCAACTAACGATGTTCCGACGAAAATAACAGCATATTCAAGAGGTTTTAAATGGAGAGCCGCATGGTTAATGCGGGGGTTACTCTAGCTTGATGCTTAGGAAAAGAGGACTTAGGGAGGAAGGGGCTGCCAGTAAACACGATTGTGATAATAATTATATCACAAGGATATTTTTTCTTTATTCGCCAGCATTTGTTGAAGTCTAATTTTTTTGGAACTTTAGACGTGGGTGACGTAAGAGTCGATTATGGGAAATAACAGTAATACTTTATAATCTTCGATAGATGGCGATATTACCATCTTGTTTACGCTAAATAAAATATTTGAACCGGCGACGGGAAGCAGCGTTAAAGGGTAGGAGACGTAAGATATTTCTGTTAAGAATGGTGACTATACCAGTTCCAGCCGTGAACTTTTTGAGGACGATCTATGAGAAAACTTCAAGACAGCATAATTTCCAAAAAATTATTTTTAGTTTCTTAAATCCACCTGATGACGGTTTCTATACCGTGCGATAACCACAGAGGTACGAAAGAATACAATGGAATCAGGAAAACCCCAATACAACTAAACCTTAAAACTAACAGTTTGTGTTACTCACAAATTAATGTTGGGTCCGCTTAATTTGCAACCTTTGAATTTACGATTCAATCGAGTGCGCGAAGGACGGTTCATGCATACACGCCGTTGTGAACTACCAGATATCAGGTACCGGGAATGCATAGCTCCTGCTCAAACAGTTATTTTCTTATAATGTAGAAATTGATCAGTTATCATTGTTTGTGAATCACACATCCATATCCATCCGTTGTTATTTAAATGGGGTACATTTTGTTTTGCTTTTATTGTTTCATTTGAGTGATATCATACGATTCGAGCCTTAAGCATTTGTTTACTTTAAGGACCAAAATCTTTCATTCATCTGAAATTAAACAAAACTCTTAATCCACGCTTATCAGGGCTCATATGGGTATTTGTTAATATAAGTAAACAGATCCATGGGACGAGAAGGATGATCTGCCACCATCACACATGTATATTTTATCATTTTACTTGTTTGGCTTAAAACATCGTCGCTCGAATTCGTAATGTCTGTTCGCTTAGATACAGTTGCCTTTGTGTCGCGCCGCTTTGGCACGTTCCGCATCTTGTCAATGGCGCCACTGTGACATCAAAGGACGCCGCGCGTGGCGAAACCCGTAGGAATATTTGGCATTTTAAAACGAAACGCCGTAGTGAAAGGTTTTTGCTACCTAACTTGTGTTTATTATTTATATTCGTATTTTCTTACAATAAACATAAGAATAAAATAGTATTCTATTTTATTCTTAAAATAGAAAAACATTAACTTAACAAACACAATAAAAATAATAAAATAAAATAATAATTGCGTCTTCGCGTGTACCCACACTATCTTAGTGAACAGACTTTAACATTCGTCATTAATGATCATCTGTGAATTTTCATTTCATTTGGGTATGGCTTAAGAAACCATTCATATATTAAGATCTGTACAAGAATTTTTAACATTGGATACACAAATACAAAACGAAATTATGAATACACTAAAACCGAACTGTACATTTGTAAACTGTGTTCTTTAACTATTTCTTATTTTATCAATATTTTTCTTTTCATAGATAACCCTGTTCCATTGAAAACGACTTAGCGTTTTATCGATGTTGTAAAGCTTTTATATCTTTCTATTTACCCTAATACTTTGCCTTTAAAAATTTGAAATTTGAATAAATTTGAATATTTTGTAAGTCTCCTTAAAATTACTTTAAATAATATCGTGAATAAGACTTGAAGTTGTTCATGAATATGCTTTCCTTAATGTCATCGTAATGCTAGTCACTTGAAATAGCGCTTTTCGCCAATATTAACTTATATTCAAACTATTGGGTTTATTTATTCACTACTCGTATTATTATAATGTACTTACTGTCTGTAAGGTTAAAACGTCAGTTACATCAATACATTGAGTCTGTGGTGGAGGCTGTGCTAGTGTTACCATGTTAAGGCAATTGCACTGTCCTCGTGCATTGACATAAGAAGTTTTTGACAGCAAGGGGGTCTCGCCGCTGTCGTCGCAAACCTTGCCAGCGGGCAAGGAGCGCTCTAACACCGCCTCGCAACTCGCTAGGGCCATCGACACTTGCGATGCCACGCTCGGCTTCTATAGGTTTGTCTCTTTAACGCTCTGTCGCGCTGTTATTCTACGTCACACCTTCACGTGTAACAGTTATTATTTATAACTAGAACTTTTATGGAACAACAAACGACTTAGTAATTAAACTGACACAGTTAATAAAATAAATAATTAACGTGATCTTATCCAGTCGATATTAAATTCCAACCTCTCGCGCTTCACGTTCTAGGTGAGCAATTAAGAAATCTAAAATTCCTTAAACAGATTCAAAGATTTGTTCTTATTGATATTTAAATTAAACAAGAAAACGTGTGCCATTCACGCGCGGTAGAAGTGAAACCTTCAGAAAACTGAACTTCGAGAGAATGAAACGAATGCAGAGTATAAAGAGCTGAATAATTGTAGGCTTTGTTTCATAGACTTAGAATATATACTGGCATTTAGACTGACCTGACAGCCAAATTTTGATCTGATATTGTGTGCGTTAGTGCGATAGTGCGATAGTATATTTTATCTATAAAGACTATCGATAAATCATTGCAATGTGACCACAACACTGCAACTGGAAGTACTAAGGGAAAAAAATTAAACAAAATTAGTTTAATACACAAAAGTGAATAACTTCAAAAATTAACTGATTTTTAACGTCTTAGTTCTATAATAAATAATAATAATAATAATATACAGGCTGTTAGTGTAAACACCGTTATCCTTGAAACCAGTGGTTTGGTTACACTTATAGAACGCAAATTCAATGAATTAAAAAGAAACGCTATTTTCTTTCATAAAATTTTAAAAGTTTCTGTCCGACACCGTCCGTAAATTCATGGATACCCTATGCGCCCGAGTGACGTAATCACTGTTAAGATCACCGCCCGCGTTAGCTACCTACACTACATTCCAATAAAAACACAATAGGTACACATAACATGTGATGTAACTTTTCATCCTGGCTTAGGACGGGCAAAAATTGAGGAATTGAGGAAAAATTGATATTTTACTTAAAAAAATGTGATTATTTTTAATTGAATTTACGTTCTGTAAGTGAAACCAAATCACTGGTTTCAAGGATAACGGTGTTTACACTAACATCCTGTATAAATAATAATAATTATTATTATTTATACAAAAACATGTTACCGGGAATAAGTTAAACCTGCTTGGCTTTTAAAACAACATGTACAAAATTTCAGTAATCGCTGATGAGGTGAGTCTACCCATAAAATTAAACAATTTTCCCCAAGAAACAGATCAAAAAGTTGTTAGAGCGATGAACCTTGGAGAAATATGTTTACTTTTATTCCTGGGAATTTCTTATCATCGAATGACCTGTCATCCAAAATTAGTCACAGAGTCATGAGATTTGCTATCCTTTTCTGTCTTGCCATATTGCCGTAAGGAATTTCTTCTCCCTTGCACGCTATTAACGTCTACCAGTATTATCCTAAGTTTATGGGTTTATTTATTGTAATATTGTTAACAAGTTGAAAAATTATTTTACATTTTATTCTACATGTTATATACTTGAAACTAGAAAACTTGTATTTTCTAGTATGTTATACACAATCCAAGTTTTCAATTTTATCGTAAGTGCATAAATATTTTCTAATCAACAAATTTTGTCCTTAATCCTTACTATTCAATATTCATATATCACATGCATAATCTCCAAAAACACTGTATACTGTAATATACATATCTCATTCTCTCGCAGGCTAAATCCTATAGATGTATATGTTTGTCTCTTTTTCAGTGTTTCTTTTTTGTTTCATCGAATTTGAAATCACAACGATTCTAAAGAAGTTTTCACTTCAAAGCGATGACCATAATATATGTGAAAAATTGACATATAGAATACAGGTATCAACTATACTGAAATTACTAAAGTTCCTATAAAGTATTAATATTATATACAGAAAGGCATTGATAATGGCTTTATATTGTGATTACTTCAACGTTTTTTTGTTTTTCTTCTATTTGGTAATCCTTAGTGCAATAGCGGTATTATTGCACTTATAACTTCGTATTCTTCACTCTTATATTAACACAAGTGTAAAGTGTGACGTAGGATTTTTACTTTTTATAAGCTTTAAACCTAAATATGTTTGGTCATTAACCTTCATTTTTTCTCAACAGTGTAACAAACGGGGCTTAATGATCAAATTTATGTTACCATATGTTACAGTTTTATTTTAATTACATATTTCTAGTATTTTAGTGTTATTTTTTGGCTGTGAAGTATTATTTTCGGCTACTATCTATCCTTGTAGATATTTAAGCACTACACAATACAATGAAACAAACACATTCCAATTTTACACTTTAAACGTAAAGTGCACTGTATTGCTTTATTTATTGTGTGAATTACTAATTCACATTGAAATTCACATGAGGCTAGATTTGCACATTTATGTTAACACAAATCACGCAATAATTTCACGTATGACTAACATCAACACTTACAATATTTATAGCTAGCTATTAGAGGTTGCTTTGTGGCGTTCCTTGGGGGAGGCCTATGTTCGGCAGTGGACCTCTAAAGGGCTGTAATGATAATGATGTTGATGATATGACCTTGAGCGATTGATGATGGATTAACTTTGTACGTCGTTGTTATTTTTTATATTATTTAAATATTAATAATTACTACCGATATTCCCGTTAACCACTCCTAATAAGCTTCAATTAGCTTAATGCTTGTTGCTTGTTAGGTGTGGTTCTAGACAGGAGGCGTATTCGAACCCAAGATCCTTACCCTTATACTGTATATATACCCATTACCGTATTTATACATTTTATTGGAATTTTTTTAATCGCTCGTTGCCTCATCTTTTCCCATTTATGTAACGTTACCGTTGATTGGATTTTGTTCTAAATGATGATTACGTCAATTTGACTCAATGATCTAGGCACACGAGTGTGTGTCAGCCAAGTTCGGTAAAGAAAAGGGTGACGCACCAGTTGTATATTCACACAAACCATTTCGATTTTTTTAATATAGAATATGGGTGACAGCGAGCACACAGTCCACCTGATGGTAAGTGGATGCTGTGGCCCCTAGACATCGGCATCTATCCTCGATTAAGAATCAAAATGCAGATGGGTTGTTACCCCTAAATAATACGAAGGAACGCCAAAATTTTCTTTCTAGAGTGTTTCAAATACAGTACTTGCTGTAAACTAACCTTACATTGTCGACATGTAATTCTTATGGTTTTAATAAAAGAGAATTTATGTAGTGAATGGTATTTATTTAGTTCATTAAATAGTAAAATAGTAAAATTCTCTTTTTTTACAAAATTATTGACATGCTGTCAAAAACCTAAATTTTAAATAGTACTCCAACTTCAATATAATCGACGTCCGGGGTTGTCGGATTCTCCGATAAACGGTTGAGATCTGAACGGGTGAAAACTTAAGCGTGACACTTCCTTTAACGGTAGAGGTCCATGTTCAACAGTGGAAAAACTAATATAGTATAGACATGGAGATCTGAGATCGATTAATCAAAGAATCGATTTCTTGTTCCGAAATGATCGGTTTTTTAAATCGATCTATAGTTCTCAATCGATCCAGTAAATCGATATTTTACCTTAGAAAATCGAGATTCGATTATTTCTATTTTGATAAAAACCATAAAATTATTAAGTTAGTTGATTGTATCGAAACACGTAAAAAATAACAGTTTTCACTTAATTATTCAAAAACTAGCGAGATGGCCGTGGGCTCAGTTTCTTTCGCCTCTTCTTAATAGATTAAAGAAGTAAAAAAAAACGTTACGTGTGTTAAATGTATTTTGTGTTTGTTCATTGTTGTTAAGAGATCGAATTTTGAGAAATCAGATTCTTTTCAATTCTTTCCGGAAAAGATTAATTTTAAAAATCGATATTTTCCGGAACGAATTGCCATCCCTAATATAGTAGTGTAATCTTATGAAAATAGTTACTCATTAAATTAAATTTTACTCGTAAATATTTAACCAAGTATAGCTTACTATATTAAAAACACCTCATATCAGCCATTAATCACTAGATACGAATTTCACAATATAATATCGTAACTAACTACTTACTTCACCGACTATCGTATTATATTTTAATGTATGTATAGCAGTTTAAATTATACTAGCATATTAAGGTTGTATTTAATTTGTGTTAGTAAGTTATTAGACGATTCCTTACACTGCAGCAACAACATGACGTCATCAAAGTCGCTGTCCATGTCCGCCCCTGGCGCTATTAACGTAGAACACACCACTGTTAAGTTTGACAACGAGATAAAGAAAGCTCGGAATTCAATCACTACACACAGCGGATTGAAGGTAAGAAAAACTTATTGGTCATTTAGGAAGGCAGACTTTGTATGTAATATATTATTGGCCAAAATTGGTTTTATAAATCTCTGCAATAAAAAAATAATTCACTGATTGCTCTTTACGATTAAAATACATATTTTTTTATTTTCAACAACATAAATGAAATAATTCCAATTGTTCTATTTTCAAAAGATTTTAAAATACAAAAAGTAGTGTTGCTCGTAAAAATTTAAATTTTATTGCGGTTTTTACACTGTTATACTGAACCTGAACTACCAATAATATACTAATAAACAATTTTGACTGTATACTCTTATTTCATAAAAATCAGAACAAACTGTTAGTTTTAATTATGAAAATATGTATATAATTTGTACTATTGTATATATGTATATAATACTAATTTGGTTCGAATTTAGAACCTGGTATAGTATATCAGGCTCACTGACAAGTAAATGCGATATCTATTACCCTTTCAAAAGTGTATACATGTATACACGGGCTTATAAATATACAAATGACTATGGAACGTCGTAGCTAAGGGTCAATTCACATTAACGCAGAGCCGAAGTGCGTTGAAATTTCAATTTAAAAAATACATAGCATTTTGTCCTCTACATCCTCAGCTTAATACACAAATTCCTATTGATATAAACAAAAGACGGGTGCGTATACGAGTGGTCAGCGTTAACTGGTGCGCGATTATTTCACGCATCAAATGCAACACAAACTACACGCAATCAAATGGTTACTGTTATTTAATATTACTGATAATATCATTACTTTAGTTCTCTAAGAAATACGCTCCAATACACGCACCCTAAAATTGATAACAGTGAGCTGTTGAGCAGATTTAATATTAATGTACCTCGGAGACCTTCTCGCAACCCATGTCCTTTCTTTAAGATTGAAAACACTAGAACAAAACTTGGACAGAATTCTCCAATAACACGTATATCACGCGTATACAATGTATGTGTAAAAAACATAGCAACACTGGACATTGGTTGTGACGGGCTGACACTTTTTATGAAAAAATTTAACGATATTTGGAAAATTAATTATTCACAAACTTTATGATAAACTTAACATTTATTTATGTTACAAAAAACTATTAAATATCTTTTGTTCGTACAACTTATTTTTATTCCTACTACCACTAAAATAGGCAAATTCTAAACACTGCTATTGCTTTAGAATGATGTGTTCTCCTAGAATTGGTAGTACATAGTAATTTATAGATGTAAAGCATGTGTTAGAAATAATTTAATATGTACAACTGTTGGAGATCCATACAAATAAATAAATAAATTGTTAAGAGTTTGACGCTTCGCTTTAACGTGATACGTAAATGTGAACACCAACAATGAATGCAGCGCTGCAGTATAGCAGCGTCGCAGCGGTCGACCGACTCGTTACTCGGCGACGAGTGTGACGGCGGCGCGGGTGGCGAGGGGGCGGAGTCCCCGGCGGACGCGTGCCGCTCGCTCTCCTGCCTCACCGACTCCACAGACCACTCCGCGCCCGTCAACTTCGACATGAGCAATCGCGTGAGTGTGATGTATGGTGCACATACATGTAACATAATTAACGCACTTTGAGAAAGTAGTTTTTCAGAATCGTTTACTGAATTGATTCCTATTGTTATCCCAAAATAATTAAAACTACTATTACGTCACACTATCTTACGTCCAAATTGAAATGGACCGTAACTTATAGCAATGACTGACTTTTAAGAGTGCAGTTTTATTTGTATTATTGCTAATTCTGTCATTCAATAAAAATAAAGAAAAATTAACTTTATTTCAAGCACGTTAAAGTCTTTGCGTTCGTGGATTTGTACTGTGACCACAATATTCTTCCGGAATTAGTATAACTAATTTGATAAATAATTAGTACATAAAAATGTTTAACTAAAAATTCAGTGTATGAATTATGATTATAACGTAATATATACTAATTGGGGTGTCTGAGGGTGTGCGTTAATTACGTTACTTATTGTATATTATTTCTAATAAATAGACTAATTTTATACTGGTCACTCACATATGTTCAAACATTTGTACAAATGTATGAGAAAACTTCGACATAATAATCGCTGTAGATCATAGACACCATAGACACGAATACTACGTTACCAATAAAAATGATCCCCATTTCCCTATACTTATCATACGAAACACAGCAGCATTAAGGTGCTAATTTACGCCAGTGTTTTGTGACAGCGTGGTCCTTATCCGATCAAGCCGTCCCAATCGTGTTGTAATAATAATATAGCTGCCAGGGTCGCTCTAACTTGTTAGACAAAAACAATTGCTCCATTCCATAGCGGCGGTGGCATTGACTGGCGATGTTTGTTGTTTTTACAACAAAATCCCAGAAAATATACAAAATTTGTCATACACATAGTTCAAAATTTTTGTTAAACTAAGTTTGTATACAAAAAGGGTTATTATAATATTAAGGAATTTATGGATGATAATAACCCCTGGGAAGGGTGATCGCTACCAAGCTATTTCTAATTTGTCTTGTGTTGTTAATTGTAAACATGGTTGTAAGCTATTATTTGAAAAAAGTCCCTCTGGGTTTCTTGCTGGTTCTTCCCACGACAGAGGTTTTTTTTGCGAACCAGTGGTAAATGAAAAAGTGACTTTCAGTAAGTATTGTTTATAATCTACATTGAATAAAAAAGTTTCTGTATTGCAAGTTGGCGAACCTTACATTTTCTTGAAAATATTTTATTCCTCATACGTGTAGATGTCCTCACAATATTCTCCTTCACAGCCGAACTTGACATCAGCACTAAACATTGTAACTAACAATTTCATTGTTAACTCTGAGAATCGAACCCAGGTTGCTCGTGTACTGCGAAATATACAACGAGCGGTTAGTGCAGAGCTACCACGGCTCTTCTATAATATTTCTCTAACATACAAAGGAACAACTTTCAAATTCTAAATGTCACTGTAACATGCTTTAATATGTGAATTCATAGAATACTATAATACATACATAATAGAACGGGGGAGTGGGGGAACCCGTGTAGCCACTGAAATGCCACTATTACGTCAATTTACACGTATAAATGTCAACACGAGATGTGTTTTGACGTTACAATCGTTTCCAAATTTCGCATGCAAATTATTTAGAAAACGCCAAATTGCACGCTATTTACATATAAATATGTATTAAAATCCTTCTGTCAACACAGCGAATCGGGATTGTTGTAGTGATTAACTGATAATACGACGTAATTTCTTGTATTTGTGCTCCCGGCGACGCCTGTCTTCATACAAAATAAGGTTGACAGCCATTCTATTGTGTATTATAGTATTATATGTGTGAATTATAGTGGAATATATAAATGTCAGGTACATTACATGTAACGGTTACAAAAAAATATTATAAAAAAAAAAATTTTAACACCAAATTATGAAATAATACAGCTAATCGTGACTTCAGGCGAAGCTGCCCCGCGGCATCGAGAACATCCGGCCGCACATCGAACAGGTGGACAACGTGCCGCTGCTGGTTTCGCTGTTCACCGACTGCACGCCCAGCTCCGTGCGCCACATGATACAGATCATGCAGGTCACTGTCCGCTTATTATGTTTTAAATACTTTCTACGTTCATATAATATCAAAGTATTTTCATTTTTCACTTCAGCTATTCACCATAGCTCAAAAAACCGACAACCGATAGGAAAGAGATTCTCGAGGGGCAACCTCCTACCGATAAGCGAAGTGTAGGGTGATTCCCCACTAGATGGAGTGACGACTTGGTAAAAGATGCAGGTGGCTGGCTATTTTTTATTTTTTATTTTGCGACGCTTAAATGTCGAAGAAGAAAAATAACTTTCTTAAACGTAGCTAAAGCTGAGTGTTGAAAAAAATTGAAATATGACACATTTATGTCAACTTGCAGTTTATTATCGTGAAATTTATTATGTTAATTTAGCGGACTTGCCATATCGAATTATTTACATAAACTTGAAATATTCGCAAACTACAAAATATACTCGTAAATTTTAGTAACTAAAAGATCTTCTCATTTAAACTCCGCTTAATTAAAGGCTTATGTTTGGTGTGAATAACGAAATCATAAGAATTGTAAAAGAAAACATCTTAACTTTCCATTTTATGCCAAATCCTGAATTTTATTTCATCACCATCATAATTCACCTTTTACAAGTTCATTGCCGAACATAGGAATGCAATAATGCTTGCCACACTTTTGGGGCAAGTATTAAAATAAATTAAAAATATTATTTTGTTATTACAAGTTATCCCAGGAATACACTAGCATAAAATTAATACAGTTTATTGTACTTAATATCGGTTATGTAAACTTCGTAACTTCTTGGATAAGTGATACGCACTGGAGTGGACTGTTTTAATATATTAGAAACTTAAAGTTGGTTCTCGTGAAATTACGGACCAAAAGGCTCTGTATTTTTAGATGCGCGACGATCCGAATCGACCGGTCGATAAGTATTGAGAGTTGAGGTTACCCTACCTCACTGTATATTGCTTGCTCAGTGAACCAAACAAAATCCTTTATTCTCTAGGACTACGGGGAAGTGGTGTGCGTTATGGGCTCTGCGGCTAACTGCCTCAACATGGAGATATTTATGCAGGCTGATGCCAGGTTCGTACATTTTATTAACAGTGGACGCATTGGCTGCGTTTGGTAGAAAAAAGCGCTAGCAAGCGCTTGTAAGCAAAATGGCGATCGTAAGCGGTAAGCGCTGTCAAATCGTAAGTAGCTATTTTCCTCTAGGACACGATGTTTGTTTTAACCGGGGAACCTAACCTTATTTAAATATATGTTTGTATTTATATTAAAAACTTACCAATCATGAATTTTTAATAACATGTATAATATGTTTATAGTTTATACATATCATTATATTACTTAAAACTAATATTGCACAAATAAACTTATAAACTCTACTTCAAAACAAACAAATTAAATAAGCAAAATGGCGGATTGTATCAGCGCTACTGAAGTTAGCAAAAGTGTCCTGGCCGAAAACTGTTTAGTTTGGTCATTTTTCTTACAAGCGCTTGCTAGCGCTTTTTTCTGCCAAACGCAGCCACTGTGCCATTTTGCAGTTTATCATAATATATACAGATGCCTTTTTTACCGTCTGTAAAAAAATAGGGTGTAACAGGTGAACGGAATAGAAGCCTATTGCGCTGATATTTTACATTTTTTATTTTACATTAACATGTTATGAAATTGATCTATCAATAAATTCTACTAATTGGGTACTTATTATTTTAGTTTCGATAATTTTTTATTGATTTATTCATTTAGTTGAAAAATTTTGTTGTTATTTTTTAGTACCGAAAGTTTGTTTCAAATTAGTAGTATTTATTTATAGATCAATTTCACAATATGTTAATGTAAAATAAAATTAAAATTGTAAAATATCACTTTCATAGGCTTCTATTCCGGTCACCTCTAACACCCAGATGGTAAAAAAAAACAACCAATATATCTGCTATATTTAAAAAAATGTTGCCGAATTTAAACTCAAATACTAACACTCAAAAATTGTATATAAATCGATGCCAGTCAACTTATTGAATTATTAAAAAAATATTGAAATAAAGCTTTTTAAAACGAAATAAATTTCATCAAGATTAATCGAAAGCGACAATACTCCTAACAGAGTATAGACTGTAAAATCCGTCTTACGACTACTTTCGTGAAACACTGTTAGCACAAGCATTTTAAGCTTATTTAGATTAGCTAGCGTGCATTAATAGTGTTGCTAGTATGTTATAACTTCCTTCTTTTTTATAGGGATAGGGTGACAAACGAGCACACAATTAACATGATGGTAAGTGGTTGCTGTGGCCCATAGACATCAACGTCTATCCTCGATTGCGAATCAAAATGCAGATGCGTTCTTACCCGTGAGGACTAAATTGGAATGCCTCGTTTCCAGTAAAAAGTGTCTCCGGTTCCATACACTTACCATACGAAACACAGCAGTATTAAGCTACTATTTTACGCTGATATTCTGTGAGAGTGTGGTCCTTAACCGGTCGAGCCGACCCATTCGTGCTACAACTATACTACTAATATAAATGCAGCATGGCTCTACCACGTAAAAAACTTCATCAGCTCGTAAAATTCCTCTATCGGACATGGGCGTCTTCCGTTGTAGAACGTAAATAATGAACATAAATCCGTGTGGTGGTAACGTTATGTCAGCTACGCATACATTGAGGTCATTGCCGCATTACTAGAGACACTCTTGGTGCTACTCTAACTATACATACATTACTTTTTTTCACCTAACCTCATAAGTGGGAAGGCACTTAAATCATCTTCTTAATGTTGTTAAATTACCGGTCAGCGACGGACTGTAACATCAATGTGTGAAACACCTATATCTTCGCCTTTTATATCTTTCACTTCATATGTTATACCATACAAATATTCGAATAAAGCTAACTATTTTCATATTATATAAAATACAAGTGTGCATATTTTATTTCATTTAATTTTTTATTATTATTTACGTTTGTTTTATGGTACTTTTGGCAGCATAGCGGTGGAGCCACTGTACCCGGTGCTGTGTCAGAAAATGCCTCCTTACCAAATTCCTCAGAGCGGCATCGGACCCATACAACTGGCTAGGGCACTCAATTCTGTGCCTTGTTCCCTGTCGGTAAGATATATTTTTATAAATAATTGTTAAATATCTAATTTACTTATTTGTCACCACAATACCTTAATATTAGTGAAATTTTTGCTAAGTTCTAAGTAACTATACGTACTAGTCAGTTGGGGGGGGGGGGGATATGAACCTCGACATAATATATGATTTGTGATTTAAGCCACATGAATTTCGCTAGTATAAAACGTTTATCCACTTGCTAAAGTGAATCTATTTAAAACTTTTCCAGCCATTTTGTCGCAATAAATTGCAGCCTATTGCCACTTCTACTTGTTGGTCCTTCGAACTACGTTATTTAGTCCACAAGTTTAAAAAAAAACATGATGATGTTGGGGTCAGCGAATCCGATATCTTATTTTACAGGTCTTATAAGAGACATTATATTCAGCCTCCCTGAAAAATGGATTTAAACCCGTTTTTATGTTTGGTTCAGAAACTTACGGCGACTTGATAACTACACCGTGAAAAATTTTAGGACTTGTGTTTATTTTAATCATCTCTAAAACATAAAATGCTACTTCGATCATTAATTGGAGAGGAGAGTCTCCTTCACTTTGGAATACATAAGTCCAGCACTGTGCTGCTTTCAGCTGATGTAAATGATAAGGCATCAGTTGCATTAGTCGTGAGTCAATTGTGAACGGATCGGCTGTCTGGACTGGGTCGAGTAAAAGTATCGACACTTTCAATCGTTTGTTTTAAACTACCCCGTTTGACCAATCAAAAACGGTTCGTTTAACGAAGCAAAACTTGATCGATTGGGTCACTACAAATGAGTGGTTGAAACACTGCTACCTTGAATCATATTTCAACGTTTGATTATGTTTCATGCTGCTTGGTATAAAGCTGTTGAACAAGTGGCAAAATCAGCCAATGAACAATCATAGCATTACTGAGGTATGTATAATACATAACGTGTTAACTTTTGTTACAAACGCATTTGTAAGAAATCAGTATGACCATTCAACGAGGAATTATTATACGTACACACTTACAAGAACAAAATAAAATTTAATGTTCACGTTGTTAAAGTCAGCGACTGAATAAAAACAACAAACGCCATTAGTACAAAATAACATTGATAAAACGTTCCTCCCATTTTAGAAATATCTCCTATTTCTAGGAGGCATTTTACATTCATAAATTGTACATATACAAACAGAACCGAAACTATTATATCTAGGCCATAAAAAATAGTTGTTCTTATTTTGGTTTATGGCAGTCTCGTAGTAACGAATTTTGACAATTTCAAGTCTTCTTTCTTTCTTTGGTAATGGACTCGTACGATTGTATCTTTACTAGTTAAGTCATAAGAAAATATCCTTTATAGTATATTTTATTTTTGTACGTGGTAGAGCCATGCTGCAGTTATATTAGTAGTATAGTTGTAGCACAAATGGGTCGGCTCGACCGGGGAAGGACCACGCTCTCACGGAATACCAGCGTGAAATGGTAGCTTAATGCTGCTGTGTTTCGTATGGTGAATATTGAGAACCGGAGACTCTTTTCACTGGAAACGAGGCATTCCATCTTAGTCCTCACGGTTGATAACGCATCTGCATTTTGATTCGTAATCGAGGATAGATGTAGATTTCTATGGGCCGCAGCAACCACTTACCATCAGGTGGACTGTGTGCTCGTTTGTCACCCTATCCTATAAAAAAAATATTGTCACAAGTTGTTGATTTGTCAAATTACGAAGTTCTTGGGAGATACTGACGACAGCTTGAGCCAGTCAAGGCGCCTAAGCAGACACATTGTCTTGAGGTCCACGTCACTATCGGTGCACTTGTTTCACCGATTCTACAAATCGTTCATATGCGCAGACATTTAATACACAACATTACACCACTTTTAAAATCCACTTCAAACCATTATTTAAACAATAATAGAGGAACGGTAATCTGTTCTATTTTGAGTTTTGGCGGTCAAGTTCCCGCCAAAACTCAAAATATTTATTCCAAAATGATTTAAAATACCTGTGCTACAGATCGGAATATCGGATTAATTGTGACTATTGTTATTAACATGGATATGCCTCGGTAGTTCCGGAGTTCCTGAATATTTTTCCGCTGGTTAAATTGTATGCAATATTATTTATATTTTCTAGAATTCAAAAATTGATTCTATGTATATTTTTATTTTATATGGACATGTACTTTCATATTGTGATCAATGAAAAATCAGATTGTGTTTAAATAATAAGTTAATAAGCTATCTGTAATATAAAAATAATATGATATCTAAACGGAGCATGCATTAGGATTACCAAACACGGCTGTCAGAGGAATTTTTAAATAGGTAAAGTTCTTTAAAAAGACGTCCATTGCGGGTACAGCCTAACAGAAGTACACTGGTGCACCCCATAATTACCACGCTCTTGGAAAAATCAGGGTCAGAAAATGAAGTCAGTATCAGACGTGAAAAAAGAACGTGAAATAAATAAAATGTTAGCAATGAAGTGTGAAAGTCGAGATTCATAAGAGTCAACCTGCTTACAAAGATTTAATGATAGATTATACAAAATCTTCTGTTGTAGTCTTTTCAGACGATCAATATGCGCCTGGTGAACCCATCGTGGTTTTCAGACAAGGCTGCATTATTTTAAAGGGCTACGCTCCTCAAAGAATTTTGCTTGCTTACAAATCTCCAATTATTGAGTAAGAAACGCGCATCGGACATATTTTTATAAAAATGTTGAAATCAATTTTATTATATGAAATTAAAGTATTATCAATCAGTGCAAATAAGGCCCAGTTTACATTTTTTGCCGTAATTCCGGAATTCATTGGGCGTATCCATACTTTTGATAGCCTCCGCCTCTGTGATTCTGATATAATAGGCAAATTAATGTTTCCGCCTAAACTATAAACTATTAAATAATTTTTTTTAAAAGCAACTTTATATAAAACTTCACGTTCACGTCGGCACAGATGACACGGGACGCGGACGTGTCGCTGTTCGCGCTGATCACGATGTCGCGCCACTTCATGATGTGCTTGTGGAACACCACGCAGTTCTGGATGTGCAGCGTATGCTTCTTATCGCTGCTGCAGGTATGATCTTACTTCTTTCATGCTCTTTTTTCAGTTCTTTTTTATGCCTCCTAGAGGAGGTCAATATAGTGAAGACACTACTCGCGAAGTTACCTCGATTAAGTGCTCGTCAAAGTCAATCGCAGTCTGAAGAACGTGACAACACACTCATGCAACTTCGCTAAAAGCTCAATCGCCTTAAGTCGCCCGCAACCTAATAATAAGAATAACGTTCAATTGTCAGCTGCAGTAGGTAATCATCAATGCTATAACTGGCATACGCGGAGTAATGTAGTGAGACACTTCGTGTAACTTCGGGACACCTCACGAAGTCCTTTGACTTGGGCGCAAAAAACCGAGGGCGTTCGAAAGTCGCCCGAGGCGAAGCGAGGTTACACGATGCGAATTGAAATACCTCTGTACCACTGACCTCTATGTATACAAGTACGCTGGACTGGCTATACACCGTGACATGCTGAAGCGATTTGATTTCCGCCATTTTGGCGCTGACAGCAGAAGTGCACGTTCACGGAACTAATAATATGGATAAGACAGTGTGACCAAATCATATCGATAGAAATTCTATACCCTCCCTATACCTAAATAAATAGAATAGACTCTATGGATAGATGGACTCTACCCGTAACGTCCGTTCTATTTATTTATCATATTAATATAATGCCATTATCATTCATCATCATTAAAACCCTTCACAAGTCCACTGCTGAACATTCCCCCAAGGAATGCCACAAAGCACGGTCCTGAGCTACCTGCATCCATCAACTTCTTGCATGTCTTACGACTTTTGACTCCATGTAGTGGAGGAACGTCCTACACTTCACCTGCCGGTACGAGGCTGCCACTCGAGAACCTTTTTTCCCCATCGGTATTCGGTTCTTCGAGCTATATGGCCGGTCAATTGCCACTTCAGCTTACTAATCCATTGGGCGATGTCGGTCACTCTGGTTCTGCTGCAGATATCCTCATTCCTAAGTTTGAACCCCTGAGCATGGCCCCCTTCATAGCTCGCTGAGCGACTTCGAGCTTCCTCATACAGCGAGCAGTGAAAAACCTCGTCTCAGATCCGTAAGTCATCACTGGCAACACGCACTGGTTGTACAATCTAGTTTTGAGGTATTTCTGACGAGAAGATGTGTTGTAATCTCCCGAACGCTGCCCAGCCGAGTTGAATCCGTCGATTGACCTGTCGGTCGAAGTTGAACTTACCTAGTCGGACTATTTGTCCTAAGTAAAAATACTTAACAACTTCAGCTAAGTGCTCCCAAAAACCACCGGCATAGGTGTGACATGGACATTACACATGACTTTCGTTTTGTCCATGTTCATCTTAAGACCTATTCGTTGGGAGACACGATTGAGGTCACTGAACATAGTGCGTAGGTCCTCCAGCGATTCCGCCTTAAGGACTATATTGTCGGCAAATCAAAGGTGAGTGACGTACACGCCATTGACGTTAATACCGTATCCTTTCCAGTCCAGTCCAGTTGAAAACGTCTTCCAATGCAGCAGTAAAGTATTTCGGGGATATTACGACACCCTGTCTTACACATCTCTACAGTTGGATTAGTTTTGTACTCTGGTTCTGTACTCGGATAGCCATCGTAGCCCTTAGACCATTCAACTAAAATTATTAAGAATAAACTAACTACACAAAATAAAAATAAAACATAATTTCTAAAATAATTTATTGTCAACCGTTCATTTAGTTCTAGTATTATAAAAAACAAATCAGCTGCTATAATAACGCCTATTCTAATCAACTACAGGTCTGTCTATAGATAGTAAAATATTTTCTACTATATAAAAATTTATGTTTGTCGTACTTTCTACGATGCCATACCGTTCATTAGATTGCGGTCAAACTTAGTCAACTTATTGGTTGCACATGTGCGAAGGTTATACGCATGATACAATTAACTGACACTTGGTGGCGTGCGTATTATACCGACTATTTATTTGAAAGTTATAGAAAGTTATATATTTGTATTATTATTTCTAATTATACAATATAACTGTTCCACATTTTTAACGATATTTCCACAATTATTTCTTCTGCGGCAGCAATGCGCCGGGTACGAGCTAGCAAGATAATATAAAAAAATATAAACTTTGAATTACATAGTTATCAGTTATTTACAACGTCATTTTCGAAATTGAAATTACAATATAAAAAAATAACGGAAATTAACATAAAGTCCTACTTGTGTCCTCACTGAATGGCTATACTTAGCCTTCAAGCGAAGAAACAACAAACTAAACAATTTCTTATTACCAGCAGCGATGATCAGTCGCAGATACAGTTTTTTAGGAACTACACCGCGCACGTGCACCCTACGAACCAATAGTCTCTACAACAAATTGCACAAATATGTAGGTACTTATCTTCCAAATACTCTGGGCTATTTACTTGGTTCAGTTGCCACCCCTGCTTTAGACGAGGTACCCCTGAGATGGGATGTTGTCAAAGTGTTCGCAAGTAGCCTCCCACTCTAAAGCTTATCATCCCCCCTCTCTCTCTCTCTCTCTCTCTCTCTCTCTCTCTCAAGCAACCAAACCCATGCCGTCAGGTCTCCTGGTATCGTCTCTAAATATTCTACAAAGATCTTAAACCGAGGAAACATTTATAGAGATACGAGCTGCACTACAGACTCCCCGAGCCCGATATGTGAATGGAGCCAGGGAAAAATGAGCACTTGCAATCATCAAGTAGTGCAGCCTCACCGAAGTCGCGAAAGATAGTCGAGTGGCGCATCGCCAATCGCCATACCAACACTCCTCTTCCCTTACGAGTCCACCTCGACTACAGCGGTCCAGGGAGAGGAATTTCCTCTAGCCGCAGCCCACTAACACACATCCAACGTGGCTCGACATCATCAGGCGATCTTTCGACACTTGGCTATGGCCCTTGAGTTTGGTGGAAAACGAGGAAAGAAGAAATAAAAAACATTCTAAATAATAATCTACTTACTGGTTACCGGTATCAGAAAATACTGTCGGTATACTGCACTTTTTCAAAGTGGTGCAGTTATCATGTCTAATAAAACAGTCGTCTGTAAAATGTTTGGAACAAATATGATCATTTTGTTTCGGACGCCAGTTCACAATATTTATGCTTTTAAGCTTTAATTTTAGCCTAGGTTCATTTGGAAATCTGTTAATTAATAAACATTTGATAATCTAACTTAATAGCTATAAGGCAGAGGATCTAAGCATTTGGCACTTCTGAACAAGAGAATCTATAAAATAAATTTCGTTAGGGACGATAAAACCTTTTTACCGAGTGATGTAATAAAATAATTTATGAAGGCTTAAAAGAGTGACACTGCAGGAGTGGAGTGATCATGTCAAATAAAAGAAGATAGTAAAATGTGTAAGCTCGACGATCAGTTAAAACAGTTAACAATTGTAACTGATTCTGACTATTCATCATCAAGTTCGTCAGAGCCCAAATCACAGAGTGATTAAATTACATGTAAATTTTTAGGGAACACAAAATAAATTTTCATAAAATTTTGGAATTAAGGAAAACAAATAATTAGACCATCTAGGAAATTTTGGACTACCCCTGAAGTGTCAATTTGAAAGCGACATTTCTCTGTTCACATTTTTGAACTTAAATTCCATTTCAAAGCTTAATAACAATGAATAGTTCGTGGTGGTGGCTATGCGAATTCAACGCCCCTTTCCTTACCAGTGTATCATATATGTAAGTGAAGATCTTATAACTCCCCGCTAAACAATCCTATCTGCTTCCGCCAATTAAGGTAACTCCTTCGTTAAACGAAAGAGGTGTGATGTGATACAGGTGGGATCACTGTGGTTGATGCTGCCACTGGCGCTGAGTGCGGGCGGTGCGGCGTGGGGCAGCGCGGCCACGGCAGCGCTGGCGGCCGCGCTCGCCTTCGCGCCCGCGCGCGCCGCCGTCATGCAGCGCGCCGCTACGCGCCCGCAGGCGAACCTGAACCGCGCCGTACGTATGCACGCACACAAATACACACACATGCACACTCACCTGCACCGCACAATACATACGCATGACGTCATCCAGCGCGCCGTTACGCGCCCGCACGCTTACTTGAACCGCGCTGTACCTATGCATGCACACACATACACACACATGTACCAAGCCGTACGAACGCACCTACGTACATATACATACACACACACACTCCCGTACCGTACTGGACGTACGCACGCACGCACATAAACAAACAACTGCACATACACGCTGCACACGTTCGCGCGCATTCACAAACACACATACAACACACACATGCAACACTGCCACTGGCGCTGAGCCTATATCCTCTGTATCCGGTGAATCCTGTTTTGTGTTCCACACAACTTCAGTGCGAACCAAATTAAAAATGGCTTGTGATACAACGTCCCACTGGCCATGTTGCATTGTACTTAAAATGAATGCTTGTCAATACAACACTATTCACTCTTGATTATCATATTCATGACATGCGTTAATTTATTGGATAATTTGCTCATTGGTGACTGCAGAATCGCATCTATTAAGCCGCTCTTCGTTTTCGTTCTAAAATTTAAATTAAAACTTAAAATCTTACATTAAATGTGGACATTGAAGTTTTATTGTATTGTATTTGTTGTGTTTTATTGTGTTGTATTGACTTCGAGATAGGAAAAAGGGGGTGGGATAAAAGAAAAATAGGATCGTCTGTTTCTGTTCTGTCTACTTTTTATTGAACAAGAGCAAACAACATGTGGCAATTTCAACAACTTCAACAGGAAGAACTCCTCCTTGTCCTGGGGATCAACACGACCTGCGCTCTCCTCCAGAGCCATTCGCCAAACTGCTTGCCGGACAGGAGAGCAGAATAGATGGTTAATCTATTCCTACTGATAATGTCAAAATGTGAGAATTAGGAGTAGATTAACCCACGCCCTTGAATGAGCTTACTGTGTCTTAAAGTCTTGCAGTGGTATGCTTGGGCTTAGTTTTGGTTTCATTAATTACAGAATCCCAAGCAGTTGGTGGTATCCAGTCTCCTTCTCTATTGAAATTAGGATGTTTTGTAATTTCAATAGCCTCAAGTATCATCCTTCCTAGGAATCGATGTACTTTCACGAGGATTTGTGGTCTTTCAAATCTGATGTTATAGCGGGTGCAGTCTAGGATATGATCACAAACTGCAGACTTTCCGGTGCGTTGGTATTTCACGTCAGCAATATGTTCGTGTACGCTGATTTTTATTGATATTTTTGTTTGGCCTATATAAGAGAGACCACATACACAATCAAGCTTGTATACTGCATAGTTTGATGCACCCTTAATGTCGGAAATTAAAAATAAGTTAAATAATACTCAATAGTACGACGCTTCAAAACGAGCGCTCGATTCAAATTAAGTTCGTGAGATTACGTGGCCGGCTACTCGCGCTCGTATTGCCAATCCTTTGGCACGCGCCCAAAAAACCGACAAAACAAGGAGCGATGGCTATGACGAGGAGCGTGACGAGTATTGTGGCCAAACTACATCTACCCTCCTTCCCTCGCTACCTGACATGCCACTCGACGTGTGTGTGGCAGGAGGGTAAGAAATCAAGTTGGACATTAAACAAAATATTTGTATGTGTATAGATGGCGCTTTTCGTCTTTTGGTGCTACGCTTGCAAGTTCCTGCCCTCAGCCATATTTATACTCGCCTTATACGGATTCACTCTACGCAGCTTCTGTGAACAAATAGCACAGGTATGGAAAAAACATTTGACCAATTTACAACGTAATTAGGTATTTATTTCTTATTATTTAGCCCGTAACAGTCCACTGCTGGGCATAGGTCTCTCCCACATAAGCACATATATAATTTAACGTTATTTGCCAAAATAATATCATCATCATCATTACAGTCCTTTACATAGGCCATGTTTAGCAGTGGACAAAATAATATGTTTATGTGATGTAAATGTATTTAAAACTTTACCAAATATAAGTACATTATAATACTTAACCCTTCAAGCGCCATAAAAATCCCATGCAGTCGCATGCGCCCGGCAACCCCCCACCCACAGCACTTAAAATAATTAAAACTTATATTTAGAGACTACTTTCTATGAAGAAGTTTAGCATTATAAAATCTATACAAAATTATCTACCTTGTGGTTTAATCAAAAGTCAGGTTTTACTTCATTACAAAAAGATTTTATTGTATTTTGATAACAAAAAAAAATACCAAGCGAATGTCGGCAACGTGAAAATCACAATTATTTCAATAGTAATATATACTCGAAATTATTTACGTAAAAATATAAATTATTTTGACACAAAAACTTTCATTACAATTTTATAATAAAACACTATACTAAAACACTAATAAAACACTAGAAAAATCAAAAATCAACACAATAACATTTACGTAAAATGAACGTAGATTATAAATAAATATCTATAGGATAACTAACTTTTTATTGCATTAAAAGATAGAAAATTTCATATTGATTCTAGTAGTTCTTTGGTAGTAACCAAACTTCTTCATAGAAAAGTAGTCTCTATATATAAGTTTTTATGGGTTATAGTGCTGTGGGTGGGTGCGACCTCATGAGACCGCTAGGGATTTGACGGAATATGGCCGCGGTCTCATGAGACCGCTAGGGGGTTGAGAGATTAAAAATAAAAAGTAGTTGCGACCCGTGGGGACCACACTACAAACTGCCCAGTACGAAGTGACAAAAATAGAAAAACTAGAATGTGAAAAAGGAAAACGTCCACACTTACATCCACCTAAAAACAGTAGCGTTCGACCCTAAGCACCTTAAAATACAAAAATCTATCAAAATTTGAACTTTGGATATTCGGGCCTACGAACTTAATACATTTTCTATGTACGTACGACGTAGCAGATACAATAATTTTCTAATACTTTTTATTATTATACTTGTATTATTACTTTGGTATACATCACCTCTCTTCTTCAAACATGGACTTCTGCCATGGTAGCGAGAGTTTACGATAGGCGCACGGGCTGACAGTCGCACTACCAAATATCTCTAACCTTTGACGTCGCTTCTCGTTGCCAGTTTAATTTCTGGTATAGATGTCTTCTACCCTAGATATTTTTTCCCGTCGCCGATTTTATAACTAGTATATTATTCAAGATGGTGATATCGCTTTGTTGATAGTAAGTGATAGTAAGTGGATTCGGTGGCCCATAGACGTTTTAACGTGGGGAAAAAAATCATTCTCTATTAAGAATCGAAATGCAGATGCCGCCATTCCATGAGGACTAAGATGGAATGCCACGTTTCTAGTAAAGAGTTTCCGAGTCTACACTCACCATACGAAATACAGCAGCACAAACTGCTATTTTAGTCTGGTATTCTGTAAGAGATTCAGGTCCGCATAAAGATCCAAAAAAAATATTTTTGCGTGCTTATATACTCACTACGTCAGCCTAAAAAAATCATATAAATAGATCACGATTTCCGGGAGATACATGCGCCCTCCTTTCTGCCAAGGAGGGTCGCGTTCGTATACGGCTTAGAGATCTCTAGTCAGATCGTTAAGCCAATTCCTAAAAGGTTGAGTTTAGTGGGTAAAAGTCTCCACATAACCACGCAGCCGGCTGCGTGGTATGCTATGAGCATTCTCAACCTCCCTCCCCCGCTTTCCGGAGGGTTGCCCATATTTGGTTCGGGCGCAAAAAAAAAAACGGGAGATACATTCATTTGAATACGACCTGTCAAAGAGATAACATCAACATGGAGAAAGACGAAATTAGAGCTGTCATCAAGTACCTCTGTTTGAAAAAAATGTCTTCAAAAGACATACACAGTGACTTAGTGGAAACATTGGGGGACTCTGCTCCTCCATATTCTACAGTTGCACGCTGGGCCAAGGAGTTTAAACTGGGCAGAACATCCACTGAAGATGAACATCGCGAAGGATGCCCATCCACGTCCCTCACCGAAGACAACGTGAAAAAAGTCGAAGGATGTTGTGTTGGCAGATCGAAGAGTGACCATCAGGCATGTAGCTGAGCTCACAGGGATCTCATATGGCGGCGTTCAAAGAATCCTTGCGAACGAGTTGCATATGAAAAAGGTCTCTGCGCGTTGGGTACCCAGAATGTTAACCAACGAGCAAAAGGAAAATCGAGTTAACATTTCGAGGGTCAATCTCGAAAAGTTCCAAGCAGATCAAGAAATTTTTTTGTTCCGTTTTGTGACTGTGGACGAGACCTGGATTTTTTTCGACCATTTTGATCCTGAAACGAAACAACAATCGATGAATTGGAAGCGAGCCTCCTCACCGACGGCAAAGAAATTCAAAGTTTCAAGTTCGGCGGGAAAGGTTATGGCATCTGTTTTTTGGGACGCTCAAGGCATAATTATGGTGGAATATTTGAAAAAGGGAGCCACTATTACGGACTCTTACTACGCAGACCAAATAAGAAGATTACGGGGGGGCCATTAAGGAAAAAAGGCGCGGCAAACTGCGAGCTGGAGTGCTGTTTCGCCAAGACAACGCACCGGCTCACAAAGCCGCAGTTGCGATGGCTGCCATTCAAGAAACGAGATTCGAACTGCTCGAACACCTTCCCTATTCGCCAGATCTAGCTCCTAGTGACTTCTACCTCTTCCTCGGCTCAAGGAACGCCTCCGAGGCAAGAAATTCGAAGACGATAACGAAGTAATGGCCGCTGTTGAAGCGTTTTGGGAGGGTCAAGACAAATAATTTTTTTCAAATGGAATCCTGGGTTTAGAAAAAAAGATCGACTAAATGTATTGTTTTGTTAGGAGAATATGTAGAAAAATAAATTATTATTTTAACTTTAATTACCGTGTTTTATTTTCATTATCATTACTTTCGGATCACCCCTCGTAGCTGTAGTGTGGCTGTACTACTACTGACCACGTTGAAATTGTACATTTCTCGTCACTTAACGTACGAAAAACGGCGGCATTTCAACTTTACGCATACTTCAGGCAACGGGTACAACGTCGTGCTGGCTGGTGTATCCGATAAACGTGGGCAACTTCTCCGCCTCGCACGACCTCTCTCTACGCAGTTGGCACGGCTGGGGCGACGACTTCTACGACGGTTTCTACCTCGCGCAGCACATCACACTCGCCCTTGTCACACTGCATTTAAGTGAGTGACCTGTATTTTTTATTGTTTTATAATCCAATACAGCTTTCAAGATAGTGCCGTGTGGTGACGGCGTAAGAAAATCCACTACCTCGTTTTGTCTCGTGGGTATCGTATGAGGCGCCGGGGGAGGGGGGGTTTAACAAGCAAGGAACTGAACAGCAGCTTCTCTTTAATAACAACCGAAATATAAAAAATCTCCGGTTGCCAAATATGGCAACTATGGCTAATATCTCCCCTATGAAGCAATCTTTAGGGACGTCTATACTCAGCAGTGGACTTTTGAGAGGCTGTAAGCCAATAGAACAGCCTATGATTTAATCGTAACACAACAAATATTACTTTGAAAGAAATGGTCTCGGTGGGTTTCTTTTAAGTTTTGCCTGGACAGAGTTTTTTTACGTGGCAACTAAAAATAACCTTCATTAAGTAGTATTTTATAATCAATACACAAAATTGAGTAAAAATATTCTAATATTTTGTAAAATAAGGCCATTCAATCATTCATTCATCATCGAGTGTAGATGAAGATATCTATGGGCCACATTAAGCACTTGGCTGTGTTTGTCACCCATACCCATGTAAAGAAATAAAAATTTCTTATTTTTATGAAAGTAAGAGTGATAAACGCACCCATCTGATGGTAAATGAACGCTGTAGTCCATAGACACCTAAAAATATCCACGATTAAGATGCAAAATACAGATGTGTTGTTCCCTGAGGACCAAAGTCGAACACAACAGCATTAAGCTACTATTTAACGCTTGTATTCTGTGTGTGAACTAGTCAAAAAAAGAGTAAAAGTATGGCTTCCATTGCTTCTATGCAAATTCCTAACATTCCTACCTTTAATTTTTCTCCTGTTTCTCAGGATGATGTCAAAAAGTCGATTTTAGCAATCCAGTCCAAAGCCGTGGGTTACGACGAGATTAGTAGACATATGGTTGTATTTATACTAGAGCACCTTCTCCCGGCAATTTCCCATATAATCAATTTTTCCCTTGGTTCAGGTCAGTATCCTAATCTTTGGAAGAGGGCTTTTGTAAAGCCTCTCCCAAAAGTTCCTACTCCCATTCATCCCAATCATTTTCGTCCAATATCCATTCTACCCTTTCTTTCCAAAATTTTAGAATCCTGTGTTTACAAGCAAATTTCTACTTTTATTTCGAAACATAACCTACTGAGTATATATCAGTCTGGGTTTCGTCCTGGTCATAGTACCACTACTGCATTAATTAATGTTATTGATAATATTAAACAAGGCATGGAAGAAAAAAAAATAACAGTACTGGTACTAGTTGATTTCTCAAATGCTTTCAACACAGTTGATCATGAAATCCTTCTTTCCATACTGTCTCATCTTAATTTTGGCCCTACTGAATTGGATTGGTTTGCATCTTATCTTCGCGGTCGACAGCAGTCAGTCAGTGTGGGGCAACTGTCCTCAGCTTGGGCTGATGTGGATGCTGGTGTGCCGCAAGGCGGTATTCTTTCTCCTATAATGTTTTCAATTTTTATAAACTTTATTACCTCCATCATCGACTGCTCGTACCATTTATATGCCGATGACCTTCAGCTTTATGTGCAAACTGAGATTGGGGATATCCATAATGGGATCAAAAACCTTAACGGCAACTTAGCAGCTATCAAGAATTGGTCTACTCATTATGGAGTTTTGGTCAATCCTTTGAAATGCCAAGCTATACTGGTGGGTAGCTCAAGGATGCTGGCTAAGATTAATCTGACAGACTTACCTCCTATTTACTATGATAATACTACAATTCCTTTCAGTAATTCTGTTAGAAATCTTGGCCTTCACATCGACAGCACGCTGAATTGGAGAACTCAGGTTTCAGATGTGAGTCGTAAAGTCACTGCCACGTTATGCTCTCTGTATCGTTTAAAACATTTTCTTCCCACAAAATCTAAGATCATGCTTGTTCAATCACTTATATTACCCACAATTGATTATGCAGATGTGTGTTACCCAGATCTGTCCCAAGATCTTCTGAACAAGCTGGAACGCCTCCTCAATAACTGTATAAGATTTATCTTTGGGCTTCGTAAGTATGATCATATTTCTCAATACAGATCTAAGCTAAATTGGCTTACAATCCGGCAGAGGCGCAACTCCAGAATATTACTTGTACTTTTTTCCATATTAAATATCCATCTTCGCCTTCTTATCTTAAGAGTAAATTTCATTATCTTTCCTCATCTCATGATAGGGTCCTACGCTCTTCTTCTAACAACAAAATCTGTACTCCAGTTCACTTCACCGAGTTCTATAGTAACTCCTTCACAATTCAGGCTACACGCCTTTGGAACTCCTTGCCCGATGACATCAGAAAAGCTCCCAATAAGTACACTTTTAAAAAGTTGGTCCGTGATCATTTCTTAAAGACAATGCATTTTACATGACTCATCTATTTAACATATATTGCCCAGACGTATATATTCATAGTCATTTGTATATACTAATTATGTATGTATTTAAATATATATATATATATATACTTGTATGTATATCCATTTATTTATATATTTGTACATATGTAAGGATAGACCATAATATGTATAGTTTATTTATTAGTAGTTTGTATATATTATGTAGTTAATTATCATTTGTATATTGTTCTCTTATTGCCACACCTACATCAAATTCTCACCACTCCATGGGTTGACTGGTAGAGAATGCATCAAGGCATTAAGTCGCCCTTTGTATTCTTTTGTTTAAGGATGCAATAAAGAATAAAAATAAATAAATAAAATAAATAAATAAAAGTTTTGTTTTTACAGCACCTAAACAGCAGCCGCGCCGCATCTTTTCTCAATGGCGTAGCCTTAAATATTGTTAATGCTTTCAAATACCGCGGTCATATTATGGGTATGTTCCGAAATGTTTCCAGTATACTGCCGAATACAAATGAAGTCATTAATTGACGCCATAATGTACTGGCGTGACGCCGTCATATTGTGTCGGATATCCGGCCATATTAAAACAATTTTTAATTGTGTGTACGCTGTACGAATGAAGCATGCCAGAATTTGTTTTTATTTATTCAAATATAAAAAATTATAGAATAATTGCTGGTATCTCCATTAGGAGGATATAATGATTTTTGGAGCATAAAATGACAAAATAATCACCAACTCTTTTCCAATATGGCGCAAATGTATGACGTCATATACTGTCCTATTTTTTGGAACGAATCACCAGTATGGCGTCGATTCATGACGTCATTTGCATTGGACAGTACACTGGGTTCTATTTTGGAACATATCCTATATCGAGCGATTTAAGCAATGATTGAGATATAGTGCGGGACCATGGGACGCGTGTGGTAAAGAGCAACATGTTTATCCGCAGATTTGCGTGATGTATAATTGACGTAAAATTCAATCTTTTAAAGTATTCTGGTAACATTTTTACTTGTGCGGCCTGTGGATATCATACAGGTGATGAGCTTACAGCGCCATTCACGTTCAATATAACAACGCTTTTAAGATGCTGTTGGGACCGCCATGGCGCTACAGTGCATCGAAAATGTGAGCTGTTATGCGAAGAAATTAGCTTCAAAGTTACTGCGGAACAGTAACAACTGCATTCTGAAACTGATTACGGCCTGACCAGATGGCCATTTTCATCGACACTTGGTAGAGCTGTCAATAGGCTTGAAAGAAAAATAAAAGTTAAATTATGTTTAAATACTGACAATGCGATGTACTGACGATACGATGGGAAAGATCTCGAGTGACAGTTTCGTACCGATAGGCGAAGTGTAGGGCTACCACCCCCCACTAGATGGAGTGACGACCTGTTAAGACCTTCAGGAAGTCTATAGATACAAGTGGCTTGGGACCGTGCTTTGTGGTATTCCTTGGGGGAGGCCTATGTTGAGCAGTGGACTTGTGGCTGTAATGATGATGATGACTGACAACACTATACAGATTCAAGAAAACTGAACATTTACGAAATCAACTCCGAGTTTGTTTAACACGCTTTCGGAGAACTTACTATGAAACTACATTAACCATCCCCTTATTTTACCACTCGTAGGGGTAGAATATTTTCTCCGAATTTGTATGGGACCACCACTGTACCATAACCTATTTAATTAAAAATAAATATCAATATTTTATTTTTAACATTAAGCCTGTATTTTGATACCTCCATTTTATTATAATACCAGACTTCAATCGTTTACGCTGCGTAGTAAATTCTACAAAAGTGTGTAAACCAAACTCATAGTCGATTTCGTAAGTGTTCAGTTTTTCTTGAATCTGCTGAACATAGGCCTGCCAAAGGAATACCACAAAGCACGGACCTGAGCCACCAACATGTAGGCGATGGAAGTTTGTATATTGTAATAAAATGGAAGTATTAAAATACAGGCATAATGTTCAAAATCAAATATTGATAACTCTTTTTTTTTAGAAAATATTCTATCCCTAAGAGTGGGCAAAATAAGAGGACCAAATTTTTAATGTAGGTTACTATTTAGACAACCTTGAGATTGCAATTATTATTATTAGTTAGTCCACTAAAACTAAAATAATCTACGATAATGGTGTACAAGGCAAAATATCTATATAATTAAAAATCAATTGCCGCGTGCATAAAAAATCATCACTTGAGAATGGCTCGACCAATTTAGATCTTTTTTGAGTTACACAATTCGACCCGGCGGGTGGCCTGTTGTCGAGATCCAGAAATAACTCGTGCATAGCCGGGGCTGTTTGCTAGTATATAATATAATATTCCACTGTCGTTGCTTCTTTGCAGTTGTGATTTCGTTGTCTTTCGTGCAGCGACACTCCTCTATCTGGCAGGACAGGTTCTGGACGAACAAGGTGTGGCTGGCTACAGTCGTCGTTCTGTAAGTCTCTAAGCAAATTTACTAACATTTGTACCAAAAAACATAAGGGAATAGTTATGTCAACTGAAATACTTTATTTAATTTGTCAAAATGTTGTTTTCTTTACCGAAAATTGTATGAAATAACTATTGATAGTAGGTAAATAATGTTAAACGTTTTAATTTCGAATAAACAATTTTTGAAGCAAGTAAAACTGTCAAATGAGCACATGAGAAAAGGTTCTCGGTGCTCACCACTAACCGTACGGAACACAGCAGCATTAAACTGCTATTAAGGGGATAGAGTAAGTCAGCTCAAATTCTAATTTCGTCCCTACTTGCCCGCGCGTCGTACGCTACGTACCGACATGTTTGTAATCACTAATACTGTAAGTAGAAAGGTCTTTAGACACTTATTTCATTAGGTTTATCATATTTATGCCTGTTTCTTAACGCCAAGCCAGTCGCTTCTTATTTTTAATTACGGTTATTTCCCATTTTAATTTTACGTCGTTCTGTTGCGTAATGTATATTCTGATCGTAAGTGACACAACCTCCCCGTTGCCGAAGCGAAGTGACTGTGCGGCAGGAATTATGCTTCAAAAGGCCGATAGTTTAGGTAATTTCTTTTTACAGTGAAAATAATGGTATTTAAAAAAAAGTAAATAACATAAGCACTGCTTTATAGTTAGTTCAGTAGTATAGTATATTCAGTAAGTTTCATGATCTTATTTAAAGTATTTTATGAATAACAGCGGTTTATTGTTTATTTTGAAGGTAACTTTGGATTTTTTTCTATCGAGAAAATATTACTAAATCGTGTTTTCGTCTAACATAATCCTTAACATTAATCCTCAACTTTACCATATATTTATTTCAAAATTAATGCTGCGATATTTTCGGCATAACGAAGGATCTTGCTAAGCCATTTGCGATTATATTTCCCCTTAAACGATGGTATGCTGTGAGAAAGTTGTGACTCACCGTGCGATCCGACCATTCGTGCTGCAACCATAATCTAGTTGCTTTGTGTCTCTAGACTCTATTTCAATCACGGCGACTATTTTCAATGTAGACTAGACATATACGCAGGGCAGGTATAGTGCACCAGTGTACAAACACAGCCTCTTAGCTTACTTGATAGCTTTAACGATTGCATGAGTGAACTTTGCGAACCCCTCCTTTGTTGGTACGGAGTTGTTCACGTGTGCAATACCAGTATAAAAGCGACAGTAGCCTAATGGCAGGTCGCGGACCTCGAATTCAAAAAGGTCGTGGGTTTGAATCCGCCATTCGACTACTGGCGTGAACCACTCGTAACACAAGCAATTTAAGCTTACCACGAGTGGTTTAGGAGGAATATTAGTAATGTTTACATTATAGCATTGTTAATATTCTTTAAAAAAAAGTTACTCGGAAGAGAAGAGAAAACAGTTCTGAGGTAACATACAAAAAATACATACATTCGAATTGAGTCCCTCCTCCTTTTTTTGAAGTCGTTTTATACGTGGTAGAGCCACGCTGCAGCTATATTATGGTTGTAGCACGAATGGAACGGCACGACCGGGGAAGGACCACGCTCTCACAGAATACCAGCGTAAAATAGCAGCTTAATACTGCTGTGTTTCGTATGGTGACTGTAAAGATCCGAAGACCCTTTTTTATTGGAAACGACGCATTCCATCTTAATCCTGTGACAGCGCATCTGCGCTTTGATTCTTAATCGAAGATAAATAGAGATTTCTATAGGCCACAGCATCCACTTGCCATCAGGTGGACTGTGTGCTCGTTTGTCATCCTTATGTTATAAAAAAAGGATTTTCTCCTCTATCTTGGAGGCAGTTTACATACATAAATTCAACACGGACATACAAATACTTGTTCCGTGCGGTATTTGAATCCGCTGCCCACAGCCACTGGGCAACGAAGCCGTCAATGATGTTCGCGTGTTCCAGGATAGTGTTGCAGGGCAGCATGAGCGGTATACTGGCCCGCTCGTCGTACGGCTCGTGCGCTCGTTGGGACGTTTGTTCGCTGCGCTTCGAAGTCGGCTGGCCCCTCTTGTGCGCGTACGTTCTGTCCCTGCTCGTAGTCTTCGCGACCAACGAGCTCATCAAGTGGCAAGAGATCAAGTCAGTGCATTTTTAAATCTTTGTTTTAAAGTATAATGATCATGAAGGTTAGATAACAGGATAACGATCGCCGTAGAAAATAGTGTCCCAGAAATATGGACACCATAAGTGAGGCGCTGCGATCGCTAAGTTCGGTCAATAAAGTCATTTTCAGTCTATTTTTCCGATCAGATGCTCAACCACTTGCACATCCACGCATAATAAAATATTTCTCCATTTTTCAATATTTATTTTTATCAAAAATTTGTACATTATTCAACTAACTTCATCTACTTGTACTCAAAACAGCTAACTTCGCAGACACTACTCACCGACGTCAGCGCCGCTATATATTCTACAATTTTCAAGGACAGGCGGGCTATGCTTTAGTACGTAGTGATCGTTCTCCTGTTCTCTAACCTTCATGATAATGATTTTAGGTTATACCTTGTAGAGACAGTGAAATAGCCACTATCATATATCATCCCGTGGGTGTCGTAAGATGTCGCAGATGGAGACTAAAACAGAAGATGGGCAGCAGTATCTTTCTGATAATATCAAAATATTTACCAACTGCAGTTGCCAAGCGGATTGCCAAGCGTGACAAATATTGCACATATCCCCTCTATGAGACAATTTATGGGGGAGCTTATTTAATTTAGTTAGAGGTAGAGCCACACTGCAACTATATTATGGTTGTAGTACGAATGGGTCTCCTCGTCTCGACCGGGCAAGGACCACGCTCTCACAGAATACCAGCGTAATATAGCAGCTTAACGCTGCTGTGATATTTAAGTCAACATATAAATTAATATTAAATTTATATATTGCCTTAAATATTTCAATTAATTTGCTTATTCTCGCCGTTTGAAGATTAACGCCTAGGTGTTTAGTTGATTCAGTGTTTACAAGCTGTGGGCGTAAACAGGTTGTCATTGGGATTATCACACAAGTGGGAAACAAAAGTCGCTTGGAAGGGAAGGCTAAATTGGCCTCTTAAGAGCTTGGCGTGCTCAATAGAGCGGCACCGTACTTCATGCCGGCTCACCGCCTGCAATATTACAAGGCGCAAGTCCTCACATGGAATACTGTTCTATTCTCTGGACCGGGACACCACATCCTTTGATCGCATCCAACGAAGAGTGGCTAGAATCGTACGATCGAGCTCTTTCTGATCGGTTCGATTCACCGGCGCTGCGAAGATATATTGCATTCTATTGCATTTTCTATAGCAATTTCCACGTGGAATACTTAGAGAAATTATGATGATTAATTTCACACCATTTATCATCCACGCCATCTGGATGTTTGGCGATACACCCAGACTGTTCGATTTTTCCGGACTGATACGACTCAAAGATCTTCAAGAAACGAACCTATTTCTTTTAAAAAGTCCGGCAATTTCCCTGGTGTTGCAGTTGTTCATGGGCGATGGTCGACACTTATATCAGGTAAATTTCATTTAATGTAGTTGAAATCGCGGGTTGGAAAGCTAGTAAAATATAAAAATCTAGTAAATATATTCGTGGACTGGGAAATCACAGACGGAACAGCCCGGTTGGGGGGGCGCATGTTTATAGTTAACCTAGAGCTATCGCAACTCTAAATCAGGCACTGGTACCAACCCAGAGAGACTAGGCCCAAAACTAGACTGAAACATTGAGATTTTGAGTTTGAGTAAGAACTAGCGATCTCTTTGATACCGGACGTAAGAAGAAAATGAGCTCTTCAATCACCCAATGAATCTTGCGTGATAATTAAACACATAGCTCCAAAAAACAATTAACTGCTAAGCAAAATATTTGTCAATAACAATGGATAACCTAGCTCAAATGTTTTTCTTTCTTTTCAGAGCTGATGTCCGCAATCAACGTCGAGCAAGACTAGACTTTGGCACAAAACTTGGGATGAACTCGCCGTTTTAACGGAAATATCTAGTCAATTATATTAGTTGCAATTAACGGTACTTCATATTATGAAACAAGACGAGAGAAACATTGTTGAGTGATATAAATTAATTTTAAGCGAAAAAATGGAGCATTGTACTTTATATTATGTACCTAGCCAATATTTTGTACTTAATTTATTTTGTGCAGTTTTTTTGATAATAGCAAGATTTACAATAAATGCCAATGAAACAAGATGTAGCATTTTTTATTAAACTCGCGCAAGATGTAATTTATAGACCTATTTATTAGTATAAGGACGTATTTATCGGTGTACGTGGGAGAGCCACACTGCAGCTATGTTGTGGTTGTGGTATGAATGGGTCAGCTCGGCCGAGGTAGGACCATGCTCTTACAGAATACCTGCATGAAATATCAGCTTAATGCTGCTGTTTCGTATGCTGAATGTAAAGATTCGGAGACCCTTTTTATTGGATACCAGGCATTCCATATTAGTCCTCAGGGGTCTGCATCTGTATTTTGAATCTCAATCGAGGGTAAATGTAGATATCTATGGCCATAGTAAAAACAGAATAGTAGGATAACTCTGACCTAAATACTTACAGTTACGGGGTTGTCACAGTTGTCTTTGTTTAACAGCTAAGTCTCATTTAGTTTTGTAAGTACGGTAGTTATAATATTAACTAACATAATACATACGGAAACGTACCTATGCATCATATTTGTTAATCATTTCTTTAGCTTCCTCTCAAAGAATCAATGACTGTCAAAAAAAATCCAGCTTTACATTACAACAAATGCCAAATAACTAAAACACGAGTAAATTAACATTGATTATATGGTGTCAGTTCAGATTTAATGTTTAAAATTAATTTGATTTGATGTTATATGATACCTAATTAATGCACTTATGAGGTATGTATCAATGTGTAGATATAATAATATTACCTATTAAAAAGGCTAATTTACTTAAACAAACGCATATATTAATTTGTTTTACAAAAAGAGAAATAACGAAAAAAGACTGCTAGCAAAATTTTATTAAAATTCAACAAAGTCTCAAACAAAGGTGATTGCGGAGCGCGGCGATGGGCGTTTCCGACTCGGTCCGACTCAGCAAGTATCGTTGTGTGCGTGCTGTGGCTCGTACGTACGAGTCCGTACTGTGACGTGCCATGCACGCACACATATTAACGGCGTTCGGTACATTTCTTAGAAGATAGCCTATTATTCTGTTTTTCTATGCTATGGGCCACAGCATCCATTTAACATCAGGTGGACTGTGTGCTCGTTTGTCACCGTTATTCTTTAAAAACAGCATTTCATTCGCTCTCAAAGTACGTTCGCCCACATGTAGGTGTATTTTAATTGCGCAATAGTTTAAATAATTTAAAACTACATTTATTTTGTAAGGAAGTTGGTAAGTTACAGCCTGTGTACGTCCCACTGCTGGGCACAGGTCTCCTCTCACTTCTGAGAGGGTTTAGGGCAAGGAAATGTCAGCCGCGCTGCTCCAATGCGTGTTGCCGAACTTCACATGCCTTCGTAATATGTTTTATGCGTTTCTCAGACATGCAGGTTTCCTCACGATGTTTTCCTTCACCGCCTACAAGGAAAAAATTGAAATAAAAATATTGTTAGTAAGCAAATTTTAATTGCTGTTTTACCACGGTACTGAAGCAAGCATTTCTGAGAAGATACAAATATTTTAAAACCCATTTGGTAGTAGTAGTGATGGCCGTGCCATGCAGTAGGACATATATTTACGAAGTATTTATTTTTATTTTATGTATTTGGAACAACAGTCATATACTTAAAAGAGTATTTATTTACATATTGTTAAAATCTTGATAGGTCGATTACAGAAAATTTGCATTACGTTTACACAAAAAATCACATGAAATTATACTTATTACACAAGTAATTTGTATGTAGGTGTGGTATGTGTGCGTGTTTGCATGTTGCGACGCGCGTGTGTGCGTGAGCGTGCGTGCAATCATAGTTTTGACCTACCTTACCTAAAATAATAAAGTTACTTTAAAAAAGGCAGTGTGCTTGGTACGACGCCTAGGAACATGAAAGGAACGGAACGTTCAATCAATTCAGTACAATACGGCTGGAAGTATATTATAGAACAAATCCATATCTAGCACTACTTTCCGTTCTTCCAAGACAAGCAGGTAGGTACGACAATTGACCAAGGGCTAAGATGTAGGGCTACGATGGCTATCCGAGTACAGAACCAGAGTACAAAACCTATCCAACTGCAGAGAGGTGTAAGACATGGTGACGATATTTCCCCGAAACTCTTCACCGCTGCATTGGAAGACGTTTTCAAGCTACTGGACTGGAAAGGATACGGTATTAACATCAATGGCGAGTACATCACGCACCTTCGCTTTGCCGACGATATAGTCCTTATGGCAGAATCACTGGAGGACTTAAGCACTATGCTCAATGACCTCAATTGTGCCTCCCAACGGATAGGTCTTAAGATGAACATGGACAAAACAAAGATCATGTTTAATGTCCATATCACACCTATGCCGGTAGTTGTTGGGAGAACTAATCTCGAAGTTGTTGACGAGTACGTTTACCTGGGACAAATAGTCCGGCTAGGTAAGTCCAACTTCGACCGAGAGGTCAATCGACGGATTGAACTCGGCTGGGCAGCGCTCGGAAAATTACGACACATCTTCTCGTCAGGTATACCACAAAACCTGAAAACTAAGTTGTACAACCAGTGCGTGTTGCCAGTGATGACATATGGAACTGAGACGTGGTCCTTCACTGTTGGCCGTACGAGGACGCTCAAAGTCGCTCAGCGAGCTATGGAGAGGGCTATGCTCGGAGTTTCTTTGCGTGATAAACTTAAAAATGAGGATATCCGCTATAGAACCAGAGTGACCGACATAGAACAACGGATTAATAAGCTGAAGTGGCAATGGGCCGGCCATATAGCTCGAAAAACCGACAACCGTTGGGGAAAAAAGGTTCTCCAGTGGCAGCCTCGTACCGGTAGAAGTGTAGGGCGACCCCCCACTAGATGGAGTGACGACCTGGTAAGACATGCAGGAAGTCGATGGATGCAGGTGGCTCATGACCGTGCTTATGGCATACCTTGGGGGAGGCCTATGTTCAGCAGTGAACTTGTGTGTTGAAAGGGCTGTAATGATGATGAATGATGATGACAATTGACCAAGAAATGGAGACTATGACGACTTCCTTCTAAATAAAATAAATATTTAATTGACTTGATAAATTTAATTGAATTGATAAAACTAAATATTTAATTGTGTAAGAATTTCGTTTTAAGGGTACACTAAGTCACTCGTTCTTCCATACAAACATAGTCTGGCGATTACTCCACTGTTTGATGGTGTACGTACAAAATAAAAAATGATTTCAATTTGTCTCATCATTATTTAGCCCTGTATGGAAACAAAAAAGTAAAAAAAAAGATTATGTTTAAAAGTTATAAGCGTCGAAAATTCCGAATTTCAACACTATTTTTAACACATCTTTGGAAATAAATACCATAAAAAGAACGAAAATTGCAAAACAGATACCATACTGGGATAGATTAGTTTTTCAAAAATGCAAATAATTTTATTTTGAACAGATAAATTCAAAAGATTTTTCATGACATCCAGACTCCCAAAGGTCTGTTTATAAAATTTCGCGCGCTCCTTTTTGTTGTAAATCATCTTGCCTTTCGCTACAAATTATTTCCCCGATTAGTGGGACGGACGGAGGGGGGCGCAGCGCGCACCCACACATGCTCACTAGGTTAGCCGCTACTATCTATTTATGGATGTAATACCTACATATTTACATCTTTATTTAGAAAAATTGCTTCCTTTTGTTCGTGTCCACTTGCTGAAGCCGGGATGAATATAGCTGGTAAAATGTACCCATAAGTTTGTTGAAGCACATGTAGTTAAAATTGAAAACAGGTAGGTACATAATAATGAACTTTCGATACAGGTAGTACATTAGGTACTTCACTACTTTAATTTGCAAACTAACGAAAACATCTCATTGATAAGCACGATTGTCGAAAAACTTAAAATTATCTATAAATTTAATTAAAATAGGTAATTTTTAGATTTTCGATAATCGTGCTTACGTATAGGAATTTCATATCCTAATATACCTAATGTAATTTATGTAAGTACATAAGAATCTAAGAAGGGCAGTCAACGATAAATAAAATTTGTTTTGTAAGTTGTTTTTAAAAAAAAACATTTTAACACTACAAAAACATGAAACTGAGAAGAAGCACCCGATCTGCCGAAACAAACTCAGAGAGGTCAGTCCAGGTATTTGCATTGGTCATGTCATACGAGAACCAGGCAGGTGGCTAATGGTCCTTTGAAGAAAGAACCATACAGATGTCAGTGGACAACTTAGTACTTTTTAGGATTCCGTATCCGAAGGGTAACCAGCAGGGCCCTATTAGGCCTCTGCCTCGAATCTTGCGGGCAGCGGAGCGACGGCGACGGCGGCGCGGGAGCGGGGCGGGCAACGCAGACCCGTTCACGTAACTAGCAGGCAGATCGCGCGACACTATAGCGGCGTAGTGATGTGTTCATGATTGTGTTGTCGAGATGTTTGTTTTTATTTGCGAACGAAATGTCTGAACAACGGCGACAACATCTTTTTGATTCGAATTTATATCTAACGCTCGATTTACTGTGGGCAAAAGAAGTAAATCCCTACTACTTATAGGGCAAGGAAAAGAAAAGGCGAGTTTTATCAAAATTACGAAGAACAGAGACAATGTCCCGACAAATTCTACGACTACACCAGAACGAGCGTAGACACTTTTGACTATATTCTTGAAGCTATCAAGGGCGATTTAGAGTCTGTATTCAGTTCGTTTTTAATTTCTTCCCATAACTGGTTAATTACTCTTCTATTTTTATGGTTCACATCTTTGCTGTTCCATATCGGTGTTCTCTCAAAAATTGCTGAAATAATTTGCTCTTGCACGTCCGAGGACATTTCGAAACGTC